AATTCAAGAATTTCTATGTGTCTTTTTTTTTTTTTTTTTTTTTTTTTTTTTTTTTTTTTTTTTTGGTTTTTTCGAGACAGGGTTTCTCTGTGTAGCTTTGCGCCTCTCCTGGAACTCACTTGGTAGCCCAGGCTGGCCTCGAACTCACAGAGATCCGCCTGGCTCTGCCTCCCGAGTGCTGGGATTAAAGGCGTGCGCCACCACCGCCCGGCTTTCTATGTGTCTTTTTAATGGTTTCTATCTCTACCAATAGTTCATAATGGTAATAAATTGTCAATATGCCTTCTTTTACTTCTTTAAGCCCAGATTTTTATTGTTGTTATTGTTGTTGCTGTTTGAGATAGGGCCTCTCTACATAGCCTTGGTTGGCCTAGAACTCACTAGGTAGACCAGGTTGGCCTCAAACTCAGAGACTAGCCTGCCTCTGCCTCTTGAGTGCTGAGATCAAAGGCAAGTGCCACCATGCCTGGTCAAGCCCATGTTTTTAAGAACTAATTCTTTGAACATATTTCCGATGGCTGCATTGACAACTGTCGGTGAAATCTGAAATCCGGTCCCTCTCACAGGCAGTTTCTGTTGTTCGCTCTCCAACGCCAGGTATGGTTTATACTTTTTGTTTCTGTACATTTCTCATGCATCTGCTGTTGCAAGCAGGACATTTAGACACAGTCGAGGAGGAGATCTGGGAATCTTGGGAAAATCCAGCAGCTGTTCAAAGCACAGGCTTGGGCCACACTTGACCTGGGGTTCGTTGTTGCTTGCCTGTTTATTTAGTAACTGTCTGGACTGCCTTGGGCAGGCTTTTTGCCCTGCTGTGTGAAGCCTCAGGTAGTATTCCTCAGCACAGCCTTGAGTGTAGTCATTTTCATAGATGACAGTGGTCTTGGTAAGAATCTCTGTTCTTTACCTGATCATATCTAATGATTTGGTATCACTAAATTTGATAATTGCTCTATTGTTATTTTTTTTTTTTGAGGTATAAATTGCTCCACAATCTTAGTACACAGGGAGTTAGTTGCTACGGTGTTTGCTCTTTTTTGTTTGTTTGTTTGGTTGGTTGGTTTTTTGGGGTTTTTTGTTGTTGTTTTTGTTTTGCTTTTGTTTTTTGAGACAGGGTTTCTCTGTGTAGTTTTGGTGCCTGTCCTGGATCTTGATCTGTAGACCAGGCTGACCTTGAACTCACTGAGTGAGATCTGCCTGGCTCTGCCTCCTGAGTGCTGGGATTAAAGGCATGCGTCACCACTGCCCGGCTACAGTATTTGTTTTAATAGTAGCCATCAGGAGGAGTCTTCTACCATGCCTCTTTTCCTGGTTCTCTGTGGTAACTTCGCTGGCCCATTGGTTTAAAAAATGCTGTTAGACTTGAGCTTACCTAGATTCTGCTTCAAACAACACTGACTCCTTTGAGGAGGACTTCAGCACTCTTTATGTAAAACCTGTCTTTATCCCTGGACAAACTCTCTGAGCTACATTGCTGAAGCCCAGAGAGAGAGCTACGGTTCCAAAGCCGGGCAGGGAGAGCGGCCTTCTTCCTCTACAGTGAAATCTTACTCTAGGTTGGGCCGCGCAGTAAAAGCAGTCTCCAGCCTTGTCAGGTTGCCTATACTAGAATTAGGACTCCATCTGAAAAGGGAGCTGGGCTGGAAACACCTGTGGCCCTCCTATTCTTGATCTAGCACAGCTGAGGTGAAACATCAGGCCTTGGAGGCCGAGGTAGAAGAACCAACTTCTTGGCTGCACTCTTCTGGACCTTAGTTCATCAGAGGGCTGAGGAGCTTAGAATGCAGGACTTTCCCTTTTCTGGAATTATGGTCATTATAGTAATTATCATAGTAATTCCAAGAGTTAGGGGAGACGAGAGCCATGCACTCTTGGAAAATCCTACCTGGGGTTGGTAGAATGTCTGATGTTAGACTGATCTGACAGCAGAAAGAGGTTGGGGCATAATTCAAGTGCTGCAGATTTAATAATCTCTCGCCCTTCAGTAAACTTCCTTGAATAAGCATCCCATCATCCTCTGTTATGTCTTTAGGTCAATACTAAGAGAATCCAGGGTATGATTATGCAGCAACCATGGGTGAAAGACCAGAGGCAGATTGATGGATGCCCCAAAGACACCATGGATGGGTGACCAGTGGGGAATAATGCCCACCAAACATTGACACTGAATGAGTCCTTATCCCTGAACTAATCTTTCAGATAGAATAAAGGATTAGAGAAAACATTGAGTTGCAGAAAAATAATGACTTTCTTGTGGCCCTAAAACTGTGGATTGTGACTTAGATCAACTGTAAAATGATAGACAATTGTTTTGATGAGTTTATCTGATGGATGAAAGGAGAGATAGAAGAGAGAGGAAGAAGAGAGGAGAGGAGAGAGAGAGAGAAAGACAGAGAAGAGCAAGGGAGCAGGAGAGATAGTGTGTTGGTTTGAATGAGAATGGTCCCCATAGGCTCATATGTTTGAATATTTGGTCCCTAGTTGGTGGAACTGTTTGGGAAGGATTCAGAGGTGTGGCCTTGTTGGAGGAGGTTTGTCACTGGGGAAGGGCTTTGAGATTTCAAAAGCCCACAGCTATTCCCAGTTAGCTCTCTCTATTTCCTGTTTATGAATCAGGATATAAGATCTCTCTCAGTCACTGCTTCAGCTCCATGTCTGCCTACTGCCATGCTCCCCATAATGGTCATGACCTCTAACCCTCTGGAACCATGAACCCCAAATTAAGCTAATTTTATAAGTTGCCTTGGTTATGGTGTCTTATCACACCAATATAAAAGTAACTAAGACAGATAGGAAACATTTTTCCCTTCTTGAGTGAGAGATAGAATGTACTTTGGGTGTTCATGAACAGGATTTGGTGGAGCAGTAAGGCTGAGGATGCCCAAGGAAAGAATGATTGAGAGAATGAAATTCCTGAGGCTGAAGATAAGGCCTACTTTCTGAGAAGTGCTGTAAGCCCAGGTTAGTTTGGTGACTGAACTATCAATCTTTATGTGTGTGTGTGTGTGTGTGTGTGTGTGTGTGTGTGTGTGTGTGTGTGTGTATGTACATATATATGCATATACATATACATGTATACACACATACATACAAGTAAAAAATGTAATCTTACAAGACAATAGAGTTGATGAAATGGTTGAGGGTATACTGAAAGGTCACAAACGTAGGAAGGGTGAGTTGACAAGTGAAAAAGTCCTCAGGAGGCAGGGTAGAAGGTCCCAGGTAGGATTACAGAGTCTGGGTTCATAGGGTCTAATCAAGGAGATCCTAAATCTTTTCTCCATTTCTGCTCCTCTCTTCTGGAGGAGGCATGGCGAATATGGATGACTGGGACCATTAGCCCAAGGATTGGGATTATTTCAGAAAAAGAACTGCTTGAAATGGCTTCATACATTAGAAAACAAAACAAAACCCACGTATTTTGCACAGCTGTTCTCCACATTAAACGTATCATTTCTTTTAAATTTACGATACCCACTTTCTATTCCTTTGATAGCTGTCTATCTTTTTTGTCCCCACTGTCTTCTACAAATGACAGAGGTGGTACGGCACAGGGGTCAAAGGGACTAATGGGAAACATTTTCAGATACAAATCTTGCATTTAATGCTTGCCGGTTGTATGACCTCAGACAGATCACACACCTCTGCACCTCAGATTTCTCATCTGTGAGTCAGGGAAAAGGACAGTACCCTACCCACAAGGCTGCTAGGAAAACTAAGCAGGCCAATGTACATAGCTGCTGAGTAGTGGCTACTGTTACTGTTGCAGCCCAAAAGAAAGAAACGCTTCTGAAAGGACACGCCTTCTCTTCCCCTCTGCTAAGGGGTCCTGATTGTGGATGGTTCTTAACAAAGCACAAGGCTGTCTGTGAGGCTGCAAGCCTTCTGCAGGCAGGCTCTGTGGTTTCTACCTGTTAGCTGCTTCAGCCCCAAGAAAACTGCCTTAGATGAAGCAAAAGTAAAGTGACACAGGATGATGGGGATCCGGTATCTGAACTTCTCATCCTTGTTTTCCCCCCGCTGTTAGACAGATAAGGGAATTAGGGCTCTGAAGGTAAACAGAGTGCAGGGCAAATGCTGCTTCTTCCATTGAATAGCCATACAGCTAGCTGCCAATGAAAAGTCAACACACGCACGCACGCACACACAGGCACGCACACCCGCACACCCGCACGCACGCACACCCGCACGCACGCACGCACGCACGCACGCACGCACGCACAGTTCACCTACTTAGATCGGGACTCTATCTTTTCCCCTTTTGTTACTAGCTATGATTCTGATCACGCCTACCAGAATGGCTTCTGGAACCGTCTCTTTCATGACCACGGCTTCCCTAAAGTGTCCTTTCCCTGACAATGGAGAGAGGAATTCCCTTTCTTCTTCGAGGCCCAGCACCCTGTCACTTCCAATCTGCTGGATGTCACCCCCTGCACTCATCAGGCAGGTTTACTCCACATCATATCAATTGTGCGATTTCTTCCTTCAGTTCTTCGTGGGTGACACTCCTCCACCTTGTAGCACGCGTGCCTCCGTCTAATCCCATACTCTTTCTACAATATATAAGCAGAATTCCTGTGCTATCAATTTCATAATGACAAGACTATCATATCTCCTCAAAGCAGAAGTGACTTCCGTTTTCTCACGTGACCCAAAATCTCTCTCTCTCTCTCTCTCTCTCTCTCTCTCTCCCCTCTCTCTCTCTCTCTCTCTCTCTCTCTCTCTCTCTCTCTCTCTCTCTCTCACACACACACACACACACACACACACACACACACACATACACTCACACACTGTCAGGCAAAGACAGCAGGTACCCATTAAATGTTCTTCTGGTTGCATTAAGCCTATAACCTTATGACAACAGGTTTTAGAAAGGAGGGCTTTTCCTCATCATCTTCTTGCCACATGGACTGTTGCGATAACATAACCAGATAATTTACAGACTTCTGACTGCGTGACACCTGGAGAATAAGAAGAATTAAAACATCCTTTGCTCATCAAGACAGGGATCATGTATTTCCATCTTTGATTACAAAGTAATGTTGTGCACTCACCGGACACACAAAGACACACTAACAGACATCTTAAATAAATACTTTACAAGAAAAATAATGCTGACTAGTTCACAATGAAATCTTCACATAGCATGCATCCTCATACTTTTAAAAACGATTATTCAGCTACTGCCACGGACTACTGAATTAAAGAGAAGCAGGAGGAGGGAAGGAAAAAATTGAAGTGACATTCAGTGTAAGAAATTTCGCATATACAAAGCATAGATTGTGCTTCTGAATTACTGTAAAAAATTGTTTTTGCAAGTTTCTGAAAATATTTTCAGTTTTCTTGAGGTATCTCTCCAACCTTGTGCCTATGGACTTACAACCCCTCTTGTAATCCCATACCAATTATCTTTCTAATGATGACTATAATATTTGCTACTAAAAAATACTCAGCCTTCTAAATAGAAAGTATGTCCTCTTAGGACATTCTATGGCTATTCCAAGAATGTGGCCATACTTTTTGAACTACTTTTAGAATTCCTCATTGGAATTACATTTGGAAGTTAAAGGATAGGTAGGCCAGCCAGTACTGGATATGTAAGGTGTATGTATAATACATACATGCCTATATACATATTTAGCAGGACTCACCTTATTCAAGCAATTTGACTTCAAATAACAGTTTAGGCTCTATCAAAAAACAAGCAAAAACATAGAGTTGCCCCAATAGACAAAGATTTTTCTAATATGAAAGTTATTTTTTTAATGAAAGCATTTGGAGTGGCATCCACACAAGCTATCAGACAGGAACAATGGTTTAGAGTAAGGACACGGTTTCCCAAGACTGATGATTTGGGGCCTAAAACGGGCTTAGAAGGAACATGGGTTTTTATGTATAATGTTGGACGTCTGTTTAAACACCACATTATGTTCATTTTGCCCTTTGGACCACTAAATTATATCTAGTAATAAACGACCTTTTCAAAAATCCTGAAGTTGTTTAAAATAGACTCAATTTAAAATTTCACACAAAAATTCTGGGGGAGGGCATCAATCGGTGTAATGATGTTTCGGCTCTCAGCTCTAAGCACCCAAAGCAGGTCGGACTCCAGAATCTGGTTTCGTTGAATGCTGGTGAAGTACAGGGGCCCTTCAAACAGATCCGAGGGTCTTAACTCAGTCAAAAAACCAGTATTTGAATAAATCTGTTCTGTTCAGTTCAATGATTTTTGTTTGTTTCACAGTGCGGTGATTCTTGTAATATGAGCTTTTCAGTAACTGTGAATTTTATTTTGTGGCTTGTTAGCACTTACACCTCACAATGCTTGATTGTGTGGTTTAAGATTGTTTTAATTTTTGCATTTCACATTCTTTTCGGCACTTTTGAAGAAAGGGGATGTTCCCTTGCGTCTTTTATGTTTGAGAATGAAGTGATAACACTCCCATTTCTGCCTTTTCAGTTGTAAATGTCTAGCTTTATGAAATCCACAATTCTCCCCGGATTCCCGCATCATGAAACGAAAGGGGTGGAAATTTGCTATTACAAGCTGTCCACCCCAACCCTTCTTAGAGGCTACTATCCCCAGTTTCAGATTTGTGCTGTTTGCCGACTGCCATAACCGGATCTGGTGGTCCCTCTCCAAAGAAGAGCAGAACTGGGTTTTTGCGAGCCCACATGACCACTTCCCCTCCTGCCCCGCTAGCCGGGTTGGAGGAAGGCATCCTGCTACAAGCCCCTAACCTGCTGGCACAGCCATTTTGAAGACGATGGCGGCTTCTGGCCTGCAAACCTAGGCCTTGGCTGGGAAAAAAAGCATCCATGTTCCTAGTCCTGTACCCCTCCTCACGGTTGCGCCCTAGGAGCATAGAAATGTTGGGGTTGCGGATGGCATAGATGACAGGGTTGATAGCCCCATTGGCCCACGTCAGCCAGACAGCCACCACATTGAGCAGTGAGGGGGCCTGAGTGGCCTGACCCTGCCGAGTCGCAGCCAGAAGCACCAGGAAGCAGTAGGGGCCCCAGCAGCAGATGACGAAGATAATCATGATGAGCACGGTGGTGGCCGTGCGCACCTCGCTGAAGAAGCGCAGCACGCGCGCGTAGGTGGTCATCGGCCGCACGCGCACGTCCGACAGGCGCACGGTCTTGCAGATGTGGTAGCGGCAGAAGCACATCAGCAGGAAGGGCAGCAGGTAGCAGGCCACCACCAACCCCACGCTGTAGGCGGCGCCCAGCTGCGCGGGGTCTGGAGAGGTTCGGTAAAGGCAGCGGTGGAAGCTCTGCGGAGCCGGGGGCTCCCGGGGCGCCCGAAGCAGCTCCCAGGGCAGGGAGAAGCCCAGGGCAGCCAGCCACGCACCGGCCAGCAGCTGCAGCGCGCGCCGCCGGCCCAGTTTGTCGCGCGGCGGCCGCACGATGGCGCAGTAGCGGTCCAGCGAGATGAGCGCCACGCTGAACGTGGACACGATGCCAAAGCACGAACTGAAGAAGCGGCTGGCGGCGCAGAAGCTGCGCCAGGGCCCCGAGTCTCCCGGGGGCGCGAACAGGTCTAGGAAGGCGGCGGGTAGACAGAGCAGCGCGGTGAGCAGGTCCGACAGGGACAACGACAGGATGAAAGCGTTGGTGACCGTGCGCAGCTGCCGGTGCTTCACGATCACCCCCCATCACGGCGCAGTTGCCCAGGCTAGACAGCAGGAAGATGAGAAGGAGCACGAGCGCCTGGGCGGCCACCGCCGCCCCGTGCCACAGCAGCGGCGCGGGTCCCCGTGGCCCCGCCGCCTCCGGCCGGCCCGCCTCGCTCTGGTTTCCCAGCGTTACCGTGGCTACGGCGCTGAAGGACAGCGCGGCCGCGGTGGCCGTGGAAACCGCCCCGCCCGGATGCGCGCTGCCCGGTAAGGCCACGCTCGCGGGCGGCCGGCCGGGGGGCCGCGCCGGCTCCTCCATGGGGCTCTGCGCGGGCCGCCGCTCTGCTCATCCCGCAGCAGGGTGATGGGCTGAGCCGAGCCGAGCGGCCGCCGCCGCGAGGAGTGGGTGGGGCTCGGCCGAAACGGGGCGGTCACCACCCGGGACTGGTGGAACCTTGACGTGGGTTCCAGGCGTTGCCGAGGGAACCGCCTGTTTACGCAGGAACGCAGGGCGGGACGCCAGCCGGGTACCCCAGCAAAGGAGCCACATCATCTTTCCCAGTCCGAGGTGACCCAGCCAGGGTCTGCGTGTCTGAGGGCTGGTATGGTGCACCTCCGGCACCCTGACATGCCAGAGACAGCCAGACCACCCCGCATACGAATGGCAGATTCAACGAAGGTGGGCTTGCTCTTTGTTGTCGGGCGCAGATACCCTACGGGGAAGGCGTTGTGAGGGGACTGATGCTGTGAGTATCTCTGGTGTACGCAGGTAGGAAAGGAAAAGAGTCCACATCTGGAGTTCTTCAACTTGGGGGGCGGGAGGTATTTCCAGTGCTTCTATATTTTGAGCCAGGAACAGAAACACCCAGAGGGCGTGCTACACGTGACTAGGTTCTAATCTGTTTCAGATGATGTAGCTCTGGGGTGAGGACCAAGAATTTGTATGGGTGGTGATGAGGATGGTCCAAGGGTCACATTTTGACACTTTGAAAACTACTGATGTCACGAACTTGTTTCGATAGATGTCTTGCTGACACTCAATATTCCTGAGTCTGGGCTTCTCCTCCCGATTCTGAACAGATGCTCTCAAAGACTAGCATGTGGATCTAGGAGGGAAGATGGCATCTACTGTTCAAGGTCCTGAACCTCTGACAGTAACTGGTTAATGCATGGAGAGGGGGCAGAGAGGCATAGGTTCCCCCGCCTTTATCGTCTGGTCTCTGGAATGTGGTTTGTGTGGCATGTTTAAGGCATTGCCGGCCACAGGCATTCTGGCAGATACTGAATGGGGAGAGACAGGACCAGGAAAGGCCTGGTTGCCCAGCAAAGTTGCATCTCTAGACTGTGGCTATAGCCTTGAGGACGAAAAGCTTGATTCAACTCTCCGGTTACCTGTGCTCTTTAAAGCAACTGTTTGCAATGTGGGTCCGGGGCCAGCGACATCATCAGCATTGCTGGAGAACTGTCAGCAATGCAAAATCTGCTGATCTGACACTTAGGAGGAGGTCCAGATGCTTGGGCTTCGACAAGCTCTCCAGGAGATGCTTACGCACCCACAAGCTTGAGGAACTCTTAAAGAATGACTAGGATGCTCGCAGGTCTTGGAGTCCGTACTAGTGCTAAGGGGATGATTTCAATGTATGCTACAGGAAACTTAAGAGTCTCAATAGAAGTACATTTAAGGATTGCTTGGTATCAGCCTTACCCAGTCTGGGCCAGATCATTCGTTGTTGGTGAGAGTTGTTTCATGCAGAGAGTCCTTAGCAGCATTTCTAGTACCTGCCCGTTGGATGCCAATAGCACTCTCCCAGCTGCAACAACTAACACTGTCTCCAGAAACTGCCACATTCCCCTTCAGGGTAGACGCAACCCCAGCCGACAACCATTCAATATGGAAATATAGTACCTAGAGATTAATTTAGTAAATTCAATCTTCAACCATTAATGCCTAGTTCTTGGAAACAGCAAATAAGGGTCCTTGCCCCAAAAGATTTATAGTCTTCTGCAAACACAAATGTATTACAAGGAAATACCTGTTTTTAAAAAATGCAAGAATGGAATTCAATGGCGATTACGTTGCTAGGGTAGTTGATAAAGACTTTGTATACCAAACTGGACTATTGAGAAGGGGGAGTAGAGAAAGAGAAGAGCTATGGTGGACGCAAACATGACCTCAAGATAATAATGTCGAAGTGGTTAGGCAACAGGCACCTGGGGGAGTAAAAGGGAAATGTGTATGGTCCTCTTGGGATAGGACCTGTGTGCTGTGCTATGGAGGCTGAACTTCGTGGAGGGAGAGGGTGTAATCAAACTAGCAGTTGACCTTTGCCAAACAAGGGTCATCATAGTCAGGTACGTGGTTCAAGGAGGCAACAGGGACCTCACGCCCTGTGTTTGGTCCTTTCCTTGTCTGCTCCAGTGTCCTTCTCTCTGCCAGTTGATCTTTCCCTACTGGAGCCCAGTCCTCTTCCCTCTGAACAACCTCATCTCACTTCCAAGACTTCAAAGACTCTCCATTCCTAACTACATCCATGGGCATGAACTGGGTAACTCAGGGGCAGGACAGTGAGTGAAAAAGAAACAGATACTGAATAGGATGCCAGGGGGTGGTTAAAACTAGAAGCCGTTAAGGGGGCAAAGCATGGCAGGTGGGTGATACAGGTAGGAAGACACAATGGTAAATTTTCCAGTGTCATCTCAGTTTGAAAGCGGCTTGTGGAGGTCAGCTCCATCCTTTACCTAAAAGACAAGACTTTTCGAGTATTTTAGAGCGAAAAGAAGTTGCTTGGTAAGGGCACACTCACCTGTGAAACCTGGGTCCCATCAGGTAATTAACATAGATTTGCCAAAAAGTTTTGCTACCAAAGGGGAGTCTCCCTCCAGACACCTTAAAGTGTTCGAAATAGCTCAACCTAAGCCCAGTCAATGAGACTCTTCACTTTAGGCCTTTAGGTTAAGAGCTACACAGAAGTATGAACATTGTCTCAAAGAGGGATAGGACACAATGTGTGAGTTTTGAGGGTTGAAGGGTGGCCTGTTTCTTAAGAAATCTAGAAGCTTTGGAACAAGAAGCGGGTATGGATCTTGGCTCACATAATTCCAGCATCATGTGCAATTGGGGGCTGACTACCAACCCAATGGTCTGGGGAGCCTCACTGAGCTACTCTGTGGGTGACCTTTGCACCAAAAAGTTAGAAGTCCTGCTCCAATGGGTACCACACTTGACTGCCAGGATCCAGCAGCAGTGTCCGGCATGGGATTGATGAACCCTTCGGGAACACCTAGAACTGACAGGCCAAGCAGTTTCCAGAGAGTAATGATGCAGAAGCCAGACAATGGTTGACTATACCAGGAAAGTGTATCTAGAAGCTTGACTCCCGAGGGAAGAGACTAAGGGTAGAAGCAAGCTGGAAAGAGGGACAGGAGTGCTTGTCTCACCATCTTTATGATGAACACTTTTACATGCTTGGGGGGACGCCACTGAGGGGAAGGAGGTGGTGGGTGCTATGGTTTGTTGATGAGGTAAGCCTTGAGATGGCCTGGGTTGCAGGGAGCAGTATTAGCAGCAGAATCAACATTGCTCCAATTTGAATGCCAAAGGAGGTGGAGTTGATCTCCCTAGTCTTTCTCACTCCGAGGGAGGCAGAGTGAGGACAGGATAGATCAGAGCAGGGGTTCTCAACCTCCCAAATGCTGCGGCCCTTTAATACAGTTCCTCATGTTGTGGTGACCCCCAACCATAAAAATGTTTTCAGTGCTACTTCATAACTGTAATTTGTTACTGTTATGAATCGTAATGTAAATATCTGTGTTTTCTGGTGGTCTTAGGCGACCCCTGGGAAAGGGTCATAAGACCCTTTGAGGTTGAGAACCACTGGATTAGATGTTGGATGTTAGGTAATGCCAGTTTGTTGGAGTCACAATCTCTGGACTGACAATACCCGAGTGATTCAGTTTTGTTTTGTTTTTTTCATATTCTAAATCTAGCAAGCAGCTGATTGTTCAGAGTCAGGTTGATCCAAGGCTTTCTCAGAGGGCCCCAGAAAAGGACAAAAGGAACTTAGCTCAGTGTCCTTGCCCAGGGGCAGACTTGGCCAAGTCCAGTCTGGGGCTGGATCCAGGACCTAGAAGGAGTTCGAGTTTCCATTCCTGGGAATGTGGCTTTCCCCACTGAAGAGATTGGAGTTATCAGTCCCAAGGACTTTGTGTGCTTGGCCTGTGATAGCCCTGAGGTATCCTGTGCTCCTCTTGTGCAACACTGCTTGATGAACTTCCTGCTGACTCTGTCCCACTGTATGATAGCTTTCTGCTAGTTCTGTCCCATTTCTCCCCTGCAAACAGTATACAAGATGGCATACTTCTTAATAAACTTGCTTGGCATAAGACAGAGCTTGTGAGAGACCTGAGTCCACCTTTTCTATCTTCTTGATCTCTGATCTCCTGGACTTTCCTTGTCAGTACTGAAGAACAACTTACTGGCCAAGGTCAGCCGATAGAACATGAGATTCATTTCACTGTAAAGGCTCATAGATTAATTTTTACTTCACATCCATATTTCAGTAATGTAGCATGAGGTTGTAGAACCAATCCTTAGAACCAGCAAAGGAAAAACAACCAACCAAACACACAACAAACAAAAGACCACTCCCAAACCAAAAAGAGCACCATCTTAGAGACGGCAAAAATCTGGTTACAAGTTGGTCTTTGCAGCATCAGTCTGTGACTCTGTGGCACTTGGATACCAGAGGGTGTTGATGATGGGGGCTCCGCAGCAAAGGCAATACCCCAGTAGCACCTATAACAACGCCTGCCAAAGAACCTGATCCCGTGTGATCCTTCCAAGATTACTTATGCCAAGTGTTGAGAACCTTGTAATAACCACCTCCTCAGCATGCTGCTTTATTTTACTCAAACTGGAACATTAAAATAACAAACTCACCAGGTTTATTATTGTGTGGTCTATCACTGAAGCTATCATTCAAAGAAACTTTAAAACAAAGTACTGTCATTTCCACAGCACAGATTAAGTAACTAGGTTTTAATTTCGTCCTGTGTACTAATGATTAAAAGTTTCTGAATTTTTAGCACTTTGTATGCCACATCAGTGATATTTATGCTCAAGAGGTTTGCAAATACGAAGTATAACGAATTTCTTGCACTTAGCCATAGTGTACTGTTTTAGAACGTGTAAAAATTAGCCTATAGGTGTCACTGGATGCTGGTTTTCACGTGATACAGAGAAAGCATCACTCAGAGGTAATTACTTCAGAAGGAGAATCTTGAGACTTTTGGAAAAGGTCACTTGAGAAGAAAGCCATCCCTCAGCGGGTCGTCCTCCTCCACTGTCAGGCTGGCTGTCCCTGTGTAATGGGCTTGTCCTGCGACTTCCACTACCACGGCTTTGAAGTCCCCACACTTCGCTTCCTGGAGAAAGAAGACAAAAGGAACAGACTAAGAATCCTTAGCAAACTAAGATACCTGTTTGTTGTCTCTAGGGCTGGGCTCTTAGCTCTTACGCCTAGAGAAACCCACATGCTGATCCCTCAGCACAGGAAGGTTTTTAAGGGGGTGACAAGGTCAGATGTGTGTTTTAGTTAACTGGAAAGAGAGGGCACATGGGAGAGGGACTAGCAACCCAGAAACCTGCTGAGAGGGAACCCCAGGCTACACAGTGATATTCTGTCACAAAAAGAAAAAAAAAAATCTGAGTCCTGACTGACACCTGGAGTCAGGATGCAGTGTTTAGTGAGGAGGGAGAGGGAGAAGACAAGCTAATCTGGAGGTAGAACTGACGGCCGGACAATGCAGACAGAGGGGAACTGTGACTATGACAAATTTGACTGTAGTTTCTAGCCTGGAAGTGACATTTAAGCCATTAACAGAGAGGAGAGGGAGAGGGGGAGGGGGAGAGGAGGAGGAGGGGGAGAGAGGGAGAGGGAGATGGGGAGAGGGAGAGAGGGAGAGGGAGAGAGGGAGAGAGGGAGAGAGGGAGAGAGGGAGAGAGGGAGAGAGAGAGAGAGAGAGAGAGAGAGAGAGAGAGAGAGAGAGAGAGAGAGAGAGAGCGAGAGCGCAAAGAGGGATAGAAGTATGCAGAATTTAAGATACTTAGGTAGTCACTTAGAGATGAGCATAGTGAACTTCTGAAGTGTTAGACTGGACAGAGGACAGGACAGGACAGACAGAGTTGGGGTGAAGGTTTATCTTCAGCAGATGGCTAAGAACTGAAGTCCAGGAAGCAGATGAAACTGTCCCGTGTCATCAAACTGGGGAAAGACTAGAAGGAAGCTAAGGACCAAGCACTGGACCACCGGATTGGAAGGACAGGGAATGAAACTGAGAAGGCATCTTCAGGGATCCCAGAAGACACAGCGCTCCTCGGCACAGGGAAGGAGCACAGTGCACTGAGGAATCGCAGGCGGAAAATCAATAGTTGTGATTTTGCTGTGTTTTGAATATGAATTGTCCCTCGCGGGCTAATGTGTTTGAACACTTGGCTGCCAGTTGCTGGTGCTCTTCGGGGAAACTGTGGACCCTTTAGGAGGAAGAGACTCATGGAAGGAAATGGGCCACGGGGGGTGGGCCTTAAGCTTTTGTACCCAGCCCACTTCCTGTTCACTCAGCTTCCTGACAGCCTGCCTCCCGCCACCAGGCTTCCCCTTTGCTGCTGGGTCTTCCCTGCCATCGTGGAACCATGCCCCTGAACTGTAAGCCGGAATAAAGCCTTCTACTGGGTATCTGGCCACAGAAATCATAAAAGTAGTAAACACAAAATCTTACCTGTAGTGTCTTTGATTTTCTAATTTTTAAAATAAGAGTAACTGAAAGTAGAGGTAAAACTGTCGTAATACAAAACCAAGGTACAGCTGTCTCATTATCTTTTTTTTTTTTTTTTTTGGTTTTTCGAGACAGGGTTTCTCTGTGTAGTTTTGGTGCCTGTCCTGGATCTCGCTCTTGTAGACCAGAGATCTGCCTGGCTCTGCCTCCCGAGTGCTGGGATTAAAGGTGTGCACCACCACTGCTACCCGGCTCATTATTTACCATTTTGGCAGTGCAGGTTGGACCGACGGCCTCGTGTTTGCTCTTCCACTGTGGAAGTCTGAATGAGTATGTCTGGGGGGGGGGGCTTTGAGGTCTTAAACAACTCACACCACTCTGGTGTAAGTCTCCTCTGCCTCCTGCTTGCCACTGGAGATGCGAGTTTTTAGCTGCTGCTGTTGTGCCTATGATGATCTAGAGTTGTGTGAGGTTCAAATGAAATAGCATGCCTAAAGTTCTTAGCTTGGAAACTGGCACACAATAAAGTTCCTAATAAATCCTAAAGGTTATTATCTTATCTCCAGTCTCAGATTTTGAAGACATTGTGTTCCTCATTATTGCATACAGAATAAATGGTTTGGTATATTATAAAATCACTGTGTGATATGTGGATCCCTAGCTTAAAGATAACTCGGTATTCAGAAAAAAAAAAAAAACAACTTAAAAACAGCTACATCCAGGTAGACGGCTTCCTATGTAAAGGCTCTCTAGAGTATATCCATTCGCTAATGTAGATTAATCACTCTATAAGAGGTTTCATTCACTACTGAGTGGACTCATTGTTAGGACATTTGCATTTGAATCCATTTCACAAATTCTCTTCTTCACAACTCACATCTTTTAAGTACAACTCTTTTAATTACAATACTTTTACAGAACAAGTCAAAAAAACCCCAAGGCTCTGAACTCTAATTAGCACTTCTCAGATTTTTTGGTCTCAAGATCCCTTTACACCTAATACTTGAGGGCCTCCAGAAGTTCTTCTTTACGCATGCCATATCTCTCAGTACTTATTGGGAACTAAAGATATTTGTTCATTGTTTCATTTGGAAACAAACTGATTACACAGTAATGTATCACACTTTTTGTAAATAAAAATAACCATCTGCTGAAACGTTTTAAATGAGAAAAATGGCATCACTTTACAATCTTGAAAGCCTCTCTGTTGTCTGTCTCAATAGAAACAGCTGGATTCTCACCAGCTTCTGCATTCAGTCATTCATGTGTTTGGGCTATCCCTCATCACGTAGCGAGTGAGTGAAAAGCAAACCATGTCTTAGTGTTATGATGAACATAGTTCTGACCCTTGGAAAGCTCAGTGGGTCAAACCAGAGGTGCCAGCACTACACTCTGAGAATTGATTGTTGGACAGAAGTTCTTCCAGGCCTGCTTTCAAGTGCCTGTCTGAGAGTACAGTGAAGAAGCTTACCCAGCGCCCAGCTCCCGCCTCTTTGGTCTCCCCATGAGCCGCCAGCGTCACACTCACCCTCACAGCACGCCCCGTGAACACTGAGCCTGTGGCACTACTTCTGAAGGTTCTGGTCTGGTTCAGTTGCAGAAGGCCCTTATGATACTGCAGAGCAATTCGGGCTGTCACTCCCGAGCCCGTGGGGCTTCTGTCGACCTGTTTCAGAATCAGGAATGACAGGAGTTGAGTGGTCTCCATCAGCTGCTTCCGGTGTTTGAGCCTAACAGCTGCCGTCCTGATACCTGTTCATCTGCAAAGACACAGATGTTGGTGGTGGGCTCCTCACTGTAGGCATCTTTTCCGTCTGTTAAAATAGTGCCATACAGAAAACCAAGGTCTTCACTCTCGGGATGGTTGATTTTAAACTGCAAATAAAATGGCCATATGTAAAATGTTTTGATTCAAATTTTGTCTTTAGAAATATTGTCAACAACAGACTCTCAAGACATAATTTCTCAATATGTATCGTTTTTGAAATTACCTATGGGATAAGTCTAAATAAATGCTTGATATTACATTACTCTCTAGATATAAACAGTTCTATTGGCAGTTATGATTCGTACGTTGAGTTTCTGCTGAGGAAGCTGTTCTGTATCTAGCCTCAACTCACCAAGCAGTCCTATTTTATAGGCATGCCCAGCCCACACCCTCTGTGAAGTGCTGAAGTCATGATGGTTAGTCCACAGGCTGGCTATGCCTGAGCTAAAACCATCACATGAGAGGGGAGACTGTGGGGGAATCCAGCAGAGTAAAACTTTTTTTTTTTTTTTTTTTTGGTTTTTGGAGACAGGGTTTTTCTGTGTAGCTTTGCGCCTTTTCCTGGAACTCACTTGGTAGCCCAGGCTAGCCTCGAACTCACAGAGATCCGCCTGGCTCTGCCTCCCGAGTGCTGGGATTAAAGGAGTGCACCACCACCGCCCGGCGAGTAAAACTTTTTTAAAAGAAAGTTAAAAGGATTCAGAGGCTACTGGTAAGAAAGAAACAATTGGATGAAGAGGGAGAAACAGAATGCAATTAGAGGTTCCATGAAAAGCAGTGACTGCGCAGATACACAGCCCAGGGCTGTGGGAAAGTATATCCAGGCCCAAAGGCATAATGCTATGCTTCCAGTACTCGGGAGGTCCAGTAGCTGAGCTTTTTCTGGATTTCTGTGATATCCGACAGTAATGTCTGAGATCACCATACTCATCTTCATACATTTACCACGTACCACTTAAACAGACCTGGTTCCTAAAGTCTAGTCTATCAAACCAAGTTAAAGAGACCTGCAAACTTGTTTTATCACTGCCTAAAGTCCCATGCCTCCCTCCACCACTGCGCATGTCATGGGTATGCTGGCTCCTTCCACTGGATCAAGCTCCTGGGACACTGGGGTTTGCCCTTCCCTGGAGTCTCCCGCATCTAGCTTAGTGTCCAACATATGCAGTACATTCTTGTTAAATACTCAATAAGAGAGTAATGCTGAACTTAGAGTGCATTAACTTTGGACCTTGCTCTACAAAAGGTCTTTCCCTAAATCTCCAATATGGATGGCTAACAACTGACAAAGGAATTCTGCCCAATACTTCCATGATGGAATGTCAATTCTCTCAAAGTACAAGGACTCCGGATTCTCTGAGTCCACCCTTTGCCATTATTACCTCCCTGAGCAGTTCAAGCTTTAACAGGAAGCTTAGAATTACTCCTTTTATTAAGTAAATGAGGTCCCCTTTTCTTGGTTTCATTCAAAAACGAAGTGGAATTTTTTTGTATTAAAATTTTAAGCCATTAGCTGTCTATCTGATAGGGTAGAAAACATATAAATTGTTAGAATTTACCATGCATAATTCTGTATATTGGTATTGATTGCCCCAGAAAATGGTAATTTCAAATAGTAACATGCTGTCTATTTTCTTTTAAAAATATTAATTTTATTTTATGTATGTTTTGCCCACATGCATGTCTATGTACATGTGTGCGTGGTACTCAAGAAGCCAGAAGAGGACATTGGATTCCCCTGGAACTCGAGTTAAGGACACGGTTGTGAGCTGCCATGTATGTGCTGGGAATGAAACCAGATTCACTGCAAAAGCAACCAGTGTTTTTAATCACTCCAGCCCAGTGCTACATAGTTTCATTTTTCTACCTGCTATAAATTTTGACAAACTAAAGCCTTTGCTAAGTAAGCCTATGATATGATCAATACAAGTATATCAGATACCACCCTGCTGTTTTTTGTGACCACTAATTAAATGTCATGTAACATTCAAATACTGTACTGTTCTTTCCTCTGAGTCCAGGCTCAAGGTGGGCTGGCAGAACTCTGCTAGAAATGAAAGAATACTCTAGAGTCACTTACTACCTAAACTGACGTGATTTTAAAACGTAGGAAAACCGAGACACGTGGAGGTGAGGTTACGAGAGCTCTCAGTGTCAGAGCGAGAATTCACAAGTGCCATGCTAGAGCGCTTTAGGCAGTACACTATTCTCAGTGTGATAATAAGACTTGGGTGCATTAATGTCTGATTTCCTTACGGATGTGATCTTTTGTATGTATCTAAGCACGGAGGGAGGCATTTGTCATTAAGGTAGTACTGGGACTCACCTGGGCTTTCACGGCCTCTGTCACCGTGCTTGCGGCCTCCACAAGGTCCCTCGTCTTTGCAGACGACACATCAAGTCCCAATTTTTCTGCACTAACAAATGCATAAAATGCCCCGCCATACGCAATGTCCATCACCACCTTTCCATGTCCGGGAACATCCACCGTGAGGTCTAAAGGAGGCATTTCACAGGTAAGTTTGTTAGAAAAAAAAAAATCACATTGCTTTAGTCACGTTTAAAGGAGAAACTTTCACAATAAAAAGGAATGAAGCAGAAACCCATTTTCAAAATAAGTGCTGGGTAAATGAGAGCGGTGTGCATTTCCGTGTTTAACTTGGCGGTTTGCGTAAGTTAGAATATATCTGATTATACGTACATATCTGTTAACTGCTCTGAGGTTCTTTTGTAGGAAACATCACGGAGGGTGAGCAAGAGATGGGGAAGCTCTGAGACAGCCACCTGGGAACACCATGAAGGAATACATACTAGTAGGGAAGGCTTCAAATGGGATTCAGTTATAATGCCAACACAGATTCCAGAGACGATTCCTTTTAAGCTGGGTATAGTAGCACATGCCCCTAACAGCAGCCCTGGCTTTGCAGGTATACACCGCAATAACTGGCTGCCACTTTTCTTAAATAACTAAATCACCGACACTGGAAACTGAGAGACCATGAGTGCATCCCATGGGCCAGAACATTGCCTACGCTAGCCCCTTAACTACTTCAGCGCTGAGAGACAGGTACTATTATTTAAAACCCTCCCATAATTCTGAGAACCCCACCAAGTAAGTGGCAGGTTTCAGAGTCAACCTCAGAAGCAGTTGACTCTGACATCCCAACCCTTTCCCCGGAAATACGTAACCTGCATTTAGAACTCAATTCCAAATCTAACGTCTTTCCTTTTGTCTATGCAAGCTCATCACTGGGATTTTAAATTGATTTCCTTCAGGTAGCCCTTAGGACATACCCACCAGAAGAGCAGACACCAGGTGGAAGATTGCAGGGTTACAGGATGAAGAAAACAGCCTTTTCTCAAGTTTAGTTAGACAAAGACAAAATTTCAAATGTATCACGTAGTATGAGTGAGGTTGGATATATGAGTTTTCCAGGAAATCGGAATGTAGCTCTGTGAACTGCAAACATGTTAAGGATGGAAGGCTAATCTGCCAGGCTTGGGTTTGGATCCTGGTTCTGCTACTCAGTGCAGCTTTGCTGTCCTTGTGCAGAAAATGGAATTGCTATGTCCCCTACAAGAGCCGTTTTGAAAATTTCATGCAGTAATACGTGGGGAGTACCCAGCAGAGGTCAGCAGGTGTGGCGAATGTTAAGGTGAAAGCCAAAGTTTAATTTCCAACAGGAACGGCGTTCTCAAGAGGACCAGATAGCCACAGCTGCCAGCCCGCACGTTCTCCAAATTTCATTGACTAAGCTACTCTTCAACTGCCATTCACTACAGTCCACTGTTGTAGACCTCTAGGATACAGGGAACAAAACAAATGTAATCTATCATGCAGGGGTGCAGGTGGGTACTGGTTGCACCTCCATTTCACAGACGGTGACTTTCCTGAACAAGATCAACTGCGATGGGAAGGGGCAGATCAAGGCTCTCCAACACCATCCCCCTGCCTGCCTTCTATGTGCTTCTGAGGATGCAAGGGTTCCTTTTCTAATGCTTCAGCGTGACCCTCAAGTACACTAACAGGGACGCTGTCTGGAACTCTGGTACCTAAAGGTTTGGCTAGCTCTCTCCTTACCAACCTGGGACTAATATGCAGGTGACGCCGCCGCCAGTTGTTGGGTCTTCCAGAGGGGACTCTCTAGTCTGCTGTCTGAGTTGCCTAGGGAGAAATTAGGTAGCCAGCTAGCTAAACGGCTTAAAAAAAATCATAAATTATCTCCCTCAAGTGCCAATCTGGTTGTGATACCCATTCAAAGGGCATCGAATTCCACAGAGGCATTTATCACCACGGGTGTCTGTCTACTGAGGTTGCTCCAAGCCTGTTCCGCTACAGTGGCGTTCACAGCCAGGCTGATCTAGAGTCTAATTATTCCGGAGGATCAAGAGCAGATTTTCTAAGAATGTTTGCACGGCTTGAAGACTTGGGAGAAAAGCAGTGTTATGTAACCTTATTCTTGGATTGACTAAATGAACTCCCAGATCACTTCCAGTCAGATATTAAATGTCTGCACTGAAAAATTCAATCCTGCAGGTATATCTGGTTTTCCACTATGGCAAAGTTCATGCTAGAGAGCTACACACTCCCCAAGACATTAAGAAACAGGTAAACCACTGAGAAAAAAACCAAACTCAATGTTTTAAGTAACTTTACGTTTTATGTTGGGCCACATTCATAGCTAACCTGGGGCACACGGGCCTGCAAGCTGCAGGCTGGATGCTCTTGCTAGCAGTGGCTCTCAACCTTCCTAATGCTGCGACCCTTTAACACAGTTCCTCGTGTTGTGATGACCCCCCCACCATCAAATTATTTCTGTTGCAACTCCATGGCTATAATTTTGCTACTGCTATGAATTGTAAAGCAAATATCTGTGTTTTTGGAAGGTCTTGGGGGACCCCTGTGAAAAGGTCGGCATCCCCAAAGGGGGTCGTGACTCACAGGTTGAGAACCCCTAGAGGCACACCTGGGATAAAAGATAAAACACCAGCTGCCGGGTGATTCCAAAGAGGTATGTTCCTCTACAGATGACCAGCTTGGAAAGATAACAAAGGATCTATACTAGAGAACCTAGAATATCTGTTCACGTTTCTGTACGTCCAGGAAACAAGCCCATATATCTTGAAGTCTCTGCTTCTTGTGTATTTTTTCAGATATTTAAGAAATTCTAAGAGCACTCAGTGAAAGGACCAAGCAGATGCCATAACAGGCTGCTCAGTCTTCTCTCAGAGATCAGGCCTCAATTTCAGTTTCCTGAGACTTGAGCAAGCAGTTTCTGGGAGGGCCGTGAACAAAAGACATAGTCCTTGCAGTAGCTCCCTTTCTGCACGTACTCTGATTGCTCAAGGTTCAGCCAATTGTTTACTGTCTGAGATCCCTCATCAACTTAGAGCTATGTGCATGAGTCAAGGACAGAGCCTGGACCACTGAGTCAGCCCCCACAGTCAGTATGTGCTAGGCCAGCCAGCCCCCATGGCAGCTCAAGGACAAAGCCTGGGACTTGTCCCGGACTGCCCCCAAAATAATTGTAACCCCCAACCAGTAAAATTCAAAGGTTACACACCCTCACCCAATTAAAAGAGAACAGAGATAAAAATAAACCAATCCGAGTTGCACCCGTGCCAAACCCCCAACACACCCCCAACCACCCTGAAGGGCTTGTGGTTTTTGCCTTTAAATAGCCTGCCTCACAAAGAAAGAGCAACTCCTCCTGCCTCACTGTATTGGGTGTAGGAATGAGTTCCCTGCCTAGGCTTGTATCTACAGAATAAACCTTGCTGTTGCATCCTGGACATCCACAGTCTTCAGTGGTCTCTTTGGGGGTCATGATCTGGGCATAACACTCAGGACACAGAAAACAGGTAGATTTCTGTGTGAGGGAGGCCAGCCTGGTCAATATAGAAGTTCCAGGGTTTCATTCAAGCTTGGGCTACAGAATGAGACCTTGTCTCAAAACAAAACAGTCAACACATATTCATCTTTAAAAAGTAAAATTCTAGCTGGTCCGGGGTGGTGCACACCTTTAATCCCAGCACCCGGGAGGCAGAGGCAGGCAGATCTCTGTGAGTTCCAGGCCAGCCTGGTCTCCAAAGTGAGTTCCAGGAAAGGCACAAAGCTACACAGAGAAACCCTGTCTCGAAAAACAAAATAAAACAAAAAAAGTAAAATTCTAAGAATGTTTTCAGGCTCCCCTTTTAACCCTAAGAAGCTCTGGGAATAAATGAAGGGATTTGATGGGTTATGTACTTGTGCATCCAGGCAAGAGCAGCAATATTTTCACTTGCAAATTTAGTTCTTTCATAGTCCTTTGGTTCTCCAAAGCCAAGGAGTCTCACTGTGTAGCCCATGCTGGCCTGGAACTGACATTCTCCCCACTGCAGAGGGAAGGCACTTAATAGCCCAGGAAAAGACAGGTCATGTTCAGTAACTTATTAGGAGTAACGTATTTACCAAGCATATTCTAAACTAGACTGAACTCTGGCACACACACTGCCCTTTGCTCTTAACTTCATTCTGCTGTGAAATATCTACGAATGCCTGCAAGCCTGGAGTTGGAATCTTGTGTAAAGCAAGCACAGAATTCTTCACCACTCCACTCAAAGCGCCCCCAAGCCTTGCATGGACGGATAGGCTCTGGTTTGCATCCAAGATGCTGAGGCGTGTTAGCAGTAATTTGGAACTACCTTTTTGTGAATTATGAGAACAGGCAGGGTGGGTTAGTTGCACAGGTTTATTCAGCACAGAACAGTGGTTAGATTCGTCTCGAGTGTGTCCCAATCGGGCCTAGAGTGTCTCACCCTTTACCTGAGGCTAGGACGAAGGCTGGGACGCTGTGGAAGCGCACAGGGCCGCAACTGCCGCCACCTTCACATGCCACGAAGGCGGCCACCAGCCCGCACGGACAGTGGATGTTGACCTGGGTCTCCCGGGCGCCTTCAGGGGGAGCGGGCACCAGTCCGAAGTCAAGCGCGAAGCGGCCTAGCGCCAGCACCGCGTGGCCGCACATGGAGCTGTAGCCTTCGTTGTTCAGGAACAAGACTCCCAGGTGCGCCTCGGGCAGCTCGCTGGGCACCAGGACCGCTCCGTACATGTCCCGATGGCCGCGGGGCTCGAATACGAGCCGCCGCCGCACGTAGTCGAGGTGGTGACGCATGTAGCGCCGCTTGGCCAGCAACGTGGGCCCGGCTACCTCCAGACACCCGGCGTACACGATGCGCAAGGGCTCTCCGCCTGTGTGCATGTCCACCACCGACAGTGCGGGGGTCTTCGGGTCGTGCGGGGGCAGCCGGGCCACTGCCAGCGCCGCCTCCATCGTCTGGGTGCAGGGGTTGCCGCTCAGCCCAGCGGCGCTCTCTCCAAGCGAGGGATAAACGCCAAGCCCCACGGGAGAACGTGCAAGGCCGGTGGCAACCTCTGGGCCAGGCCTCGGAGCGGAGACCCCCCCCCCCCCCCCCAGCCACAAGCGCCTGCAAGCTTAGACTGGGCGAGCCCTCGGGGTTCAGAGCTAGACACACGGCGGGGGCGGGGCCTCGGAGATTAGCCACGCGGCAGGGGCGGGGCCTCGGAAACTAGCCCGCACGTGGGGGCGGAGCTCCAGGGACTGGACCACAGGGCCGGGGCGGGGCCTCGGAGACTCTCTCACCCCCCCCCCCCAGGGGCGGGGCCTCGGGGGGGGGACTTAATCGCACGGCGGGGGCGGGGCCTCGAAAACTAGCCCGCACGTGGGGGCGGAGCTCCAGAGACTGGACCACAGGGCCGGGGCGGGGCCTCGGAGGCTCTCTCACCCACCAGGGGCGGGGCCTCGGGGGGGGGGACTTAATCACACGGCGGGGGCGGGGCTACTAAGCCTTATCTAGGAAACGGGGGCGGGACCTCTGGGTCCAGTCTAGGAATCGCTCGAGGCCGTGCAGACTTGGCCGGCTTGGAGGCTGGGCCTCGGTTCCGGCCTTAGCTCGGACGAGGCCCGGTGAGTCTGGACCCGGAAAGGGTGGAGCCTCTGAGCTCAGACCCGGAAGCGACAGAGACGTTTCCAAGCCTAGACTAGGAAACCGGGTTGCTGGGATCCTAGGCCGGAGAGTCCGCAAAGTGCGTCTCAGCCCAGCGGAGAAGGCCGTGGCGGGGCGGGACCCGGAGCCTAATGTAGCAAGGGCGGGGTTCCACTGCGATCGCCAGGCTAGCGGGAGGCGGAGCGGCGGGGAGCGCTGTGGCCCGGATGTTCGGGCGCTGCGTTCGGACCGGCTGATCCCCGGGCTTCTGTGGAGAACCTAGCCTGGCCAATGGGTAAGTGGCCGCTTAGGCTGCGAGGGGGCTCTTGTCTTCGTGCCTGCTGCTTTTCCACCTCCTTGCCTGGGGCTCGCCTCCGGCTGACAGCTCTCGAGTGGCGGGCAGCCTCGTCCTTTGCTGCCCTGCACCTGGGTTCTGACTTCTCCCGGGGTTGGGATGGTCTGCTCCGGAATGGCTGGAGATGAGCGCGGGGCCGTGTGCAGAAGGAAGGCTGAGGTTTTGTTGTGCTCTTCCTATGTTCTTTCATTCATTCCTTTGTTCCTTTGTCCAGGGAAGCGTTCCTGATGGTTGACTTGAGAATTAGAAGTGCGGATGTTAGTGCAGGGAAGCAGAAGCAAGTTGCCACATAACTTGTTTTTTCAACCTCAGATGTAAATTTTTGTTTGTTTTTTATTTCTGTTTTTGTTTTTTTGAGACAGGGTTTCTCTGTGTAGCCTTGGATGCCCTGGAACTCACTCTGTAGACCAGGCTGGCCTTGAACTCACAGAGATACATCTGCCTCTGTTTCCCCAGTGCTGGGTTTAAAGGCGTGCGCCCCACACCGGGCATCAAATGTAAATACGTTAGAGCCATTCACCAGGGGCCAGACTTTTGCAGACAAAAACAAGTCCAGCATTTTAGCCGTAGTTCACCAAAGATTATGAAGGGTGATTGTACAGTTGTTAGGTAAATGAGCTTTGCTTTTGTTTGTAGTACTGATTTTCAGGCCTTGGTTTTGAGATCTTTTAGATGCAAAGCCCATCGAGAAGGGGCTTTCAGTACCTTAACTTTCTTCTCAGAAAACCTGAAACAATTCATTCCATGTATTTAGTTCATTAGACTTCAATTGCTGTAAAAAAAACATGTTAAGGGGCTGGCTGGAGAGATGGCTCAGCAGTTGAGAGCACTTACTGCTCTTCGTGAGCACTGGGGTTCGATTCCCAGCACCCACACAGTGAGTGTCTCAGGACCCTCTGTAACTCCAGTTTCCGAGGGTCTGATATCCTTTTCGACCTGTCTTTTGACCTCCACTGGCACCAGGCAGGTACATGATGCACAGACATAAATGCAGGCAAAACGCATACACATGCTATAATATTAAAGTCTTTTGATAGTCTAAAATAAAGAAGCATGGGTTTCCTGATGTAGAAACAAGGGAGAATGACTATATTTTGTTAATGTCTGTTATTTTTGTTTGTTTGTTTTTTGGTTTTGGAGACAGGGTTTCTCTGTGTAGTTTTGGTGCCTGTCTTGGATCTTGATCTGTAGACCAGGCTGGCCTCTAACTCACAGAGATCTGCCTGGCTCTGCCTCTCAAGTGCTGGGATTAAAGGTGTGTGCCACCACCGCCCGGCATAATGTCTGTTTCTAAAGGTACAGCAGGGCTTTTTGTTGTAGTTGTTTTGTTTTTAAAAAAAAGCATGGGTTAAAAAGAGATGTCAAGTACTTGATAAAAGTGAAAATATCAAACGTGAGACATTTTAGACTGCATTTAAATATCAACTGTGAGGCATTTTAGGCTGTGTTTTTCTGTTTGTCTGCCCTCGAAAACGTAAGGACAGACAAGTCCAGTCTACAGGAATTTGAAAGGAGAAAGGGCTGTAACCAGAGTCTCCACATTGTGAATGCTTGAAAAAGCAGAGGAGATTATTGTTCAGAGATAATAATAAAGTGTGTAAATTCGCATGTAGGCCGCCATTGTTTTGGACTTATTTCATGGCTATGGCAGATTCTTCGAGAAGACAGCCCCACTGTCAGGACCTCTGGGGACCTTCATGGCCCTTGAGCCGCACGCATACTCCATGTACGGTTATTGAGCAGTAAAGAGAATCAGGTGTCACTGGTTCAAAAGATGCCTTCGGTAATTTCTCCTGGATGAGGTCCAAGATGATTGGGAGGTCCTCAGGGTTTTGTTTTAACAGGAGCTGTTTTTAATTTTCCCCATACCTTTAAGAATTTCATTGTAAGATAGTGATTCTCAAGTAACTGGTCAGAAGCTCAGTGCCGGCACTGGTGAAGTTTGCCCCTGTCCTCAACAAACATGATACAAGCTAAGTAGTGCTTTTATATGGAGGTGAAGTGATTTGTTTTACAGACCGACCCTCTGTTCTGGAATCCTCTCCTTCAGCCTTTCTGCTAATGTATTCTGTTATGAACAAAGACTGTCCCTGTGTGTGCACCCAATGTCCCAGCTGGGCAAAATGAAGACTAGTGACCTTCTATCAGTCATGTATTTTAATTAATGTTTTAAATTGTGTGGTGTGTGTGGCACTGGGGTGCCTACCGGAGCACACACGTGGAGAATGACAACTTTCTGGAGACTTCCCCTTTACCATGAGCTCTAGAAATCAAACTCCTCGGGTAGTGCAGGCATTCTCTAGTGGCGTCTCTCAGGCTCTCTATCAGTGATTAAAAAAAAAAAAAGCTTATGACCTTATAATCAATGAAATTCCAAGTCTAGTCATAGGGACTGCTTCCTGGAGCCTCTGGGAGGCTTCAGGGTATGGTGCCTGGGCTAGAACCTGCTGTGCTGGGTGAAGACCAATATGAGCACTAAGGGTGAGCAATAAGATGCAAGTGTAATTTTCTGTAGTGCCCCAGTGGAAAAGAATTTAAAAGTAAATGCACAAGACTTGTCTGTTACATATTATTTAAGAGAGGTTGAGAGACTGCTGCCCATGACTTCAGCTGTTATCACGTTATTGTTATTTATAACCACCAAAGATGTTACTCTACTGGCGTTTGTTTTTAAAAAGCTGTCGATATTCAACCAGCATGCCTTGGACTCTACTGTGGGAAGACCCTGTTATTTAAAAATGGCTCAAGTGAAATCTATGGAGAATGTGGGGTAAGTCCTCTGTTAGTATTATTTTATTTTATGACCTACTTACTTTGGAAACATTTTTGCATGTACAATTTTTTAAATATATTCATGAATATGTGTAAGAATTTGGTATTAAAAGCCTTGTTTATATTTGCATGCTGATAATTACATTAAAATCTTTCTGGATAGTCACAGATATTAAAAAAATATTTTATAATGTCTAATTACTGTTTAATGATCTATCAGAGTGTTTTGTATAGTAAATTAACATGACAACTCGAGAACACTTCTTCAGTGATTTTTATATGATGCTGTTAACAAGGGTTTTCATTGAATATTAGCCGTTTTAGCAATTAAGTGGAAGGAGTCTTCATTGAGCATTTTGCAGACAGCACCAGGTGATGTGAATTTCTTAAAGCGTTTTCTTGTTTAGATTTCTTTCTATTCTGCTTACAGGTTTTCTTTTTTAATTTCTAAAAGCTGCATATAAATATTAAACTGTTTAAAATAAAATGGGGTCCCTTACAGGAAGATCCTAAAATACTGTTTGCATATAAAGCAGTGTTTTTACATGTTGTAGGTGTGCCCAAGAGGACAGAGGACAAACGCACAGAAATACTGTCAGCCTTGCACGGAGTCCCCCGAGCTCTATGACTGGTTCTACCTTGGATTTATGGCTATGCTTCCTCTTGTCCTACATTGGTTCTTCATTGAGTGGTACTCAGGGAAAAAGAGGTGAGCACATTCTTACTGCATCGGGATGGACTGGTGTTGGGATACTGCTCCCATATTGTGATGCTGAGTACACAATCTTTAATGACCTACGCCCTCAGCCCGACTGTCATTTAGAAGAATAATTACTCTTCCCTTGTTTCAGAGGGGAAAACCTGTTTTTCCTCTCTTTCTACTGTTTTTTCTTGAAACAGGAAAGCAATGGTAAGACACATCCTAGTAGGTGCTAATGACGCTCTGCTACAGGATATTGTTTCTCAACGATGATGCTTACTGAGTTTCTGCAAAAATTGGTTAGGATCACAAGCTGTTACTGTTTTAGAACAGATACTTTATAACTTAATTTAATGCTAGTGACCTAGTATAATTATGAGAGACGACTAGTGCACTGCCAGTGCGTTTATTGAGCAGTGTATTTTATGTTTGGAAGATCAAAGGAAGAGAGAAGATATAGAGAAGACAGACAGGTACATGATGACACTGTAAATCCATCTTAGAGAGGTAGTGAAATACTGTGTTGTCAACATCTGGGGTCACAAAGAATGGGGAGAGAAATTATGCCTAACAGGATCTAAAAGACTTAAAAAGAAATGCTAAAACAGTTCTGGTAGAAAAAAGATGGAGAGATGGTAATGTGATCTGAAGTGGTCAAGGTGTGGGTTGTAAACGAAAGAAACGTAATAATAAAGGCGGGTGGAGCCGGGCGGTGGTGGCGCACGCCTTTAATCCCAGCACTCGGGAGGCAGAGGCAGGCGGATCTCTGTGAGTTCGAGGCCAGCCTGGTCTCCAAAGCGAGTACCAGGAAAGGCGCAAAGCTACACAGAGAAACCCTGTCTCGAAAAACCAAAAAAAAAAAAAAAAAAAAAAAAAAAAAAAAAAAAAAAGGCGGGTGGAGGCCAGAACGCAGACGTTCTTAACAAGTCTGTGCCTGGTCCCCTACAGGGACTGGGGGCAGAGTCTTCTTAGCTGTCAGTTTGTGTTCCTCCACTCTCGTGAGTTTTGCCTGCTTTGGTCTTTTCACTTGCTCCAATCTCTTTTTGCTGCCTGGCATTGTGGAGGCAGATGGGAGTGTGGTGTGGTTGAGAAGTGAGAGCTGAGAGTGGACTGACAAAGAAGGACTGAGCCTGGATCCAGAGGCCTGGGAGTGGGAAGTCTCATGGGCAGTTCATAAAGCTGGGGCATAATTCCAGAGCTTATGCTAAAGAGCACACGGTTATCCACACAGATGGAGTGCGTTTTGAGGTAGAGGGTGAAGCAGTGTAGCCTGGCCGAGGGGGTATATGGGAGTTGTGGTAAGGGATATCTTTTTCTGAAATGCAGGAGATCTTGAAGTACAGTCTCACATCAGTTGTAGTGACACAGATCTGAGGAATGTGTCATTAAATGCTCCTGCACTGTGCTGGGGAGGGGGCTCACAGGACATACTTCCACAATGACAGCTGCAAGGTACATAGAGAATACAGTCCCGTGGGACCACCGTCATGGATGTGGTCCTTTATGGACTGAAATACTGTGCAGTGTATGACCGTGTTTTAGAAGTGGAGTTTGGGAATCCACTTTTATTTTCAAAGATCATGTGGTTGACTATAGATGGATTGAAATAGGATGAAAAGATTCCTGTCATTATGACTTATAGTATGAGCTTATTTAAACTTGTACATTCAGTACTTTTATGTCTGTGAAGTAGTCCAGTTCTGCTAATTTAGGAGCTCATTTGACCCTCATGAAATAACTGAATTCTGGAAAAAAACTAGACATGAAATGATCTCTAGGGATTCTTCTCTTTCAAAAAGTGGACAAGGGGCTAGAGAGACGGCTCAATGGTTAAGAGCACTTGTTGCTCTTGCAGAGGACCCAGGTTTGGTACCCAGTATCCACAGGGTGGCTCCCAACCATCTGTAGCTCCAGTTCCAGTATCTGACCCCTCATCCATAACTCCAGTTCCAGTGGATCCAACACCATCTTCTGACTACTCCAGGCACTCACTAATAAGTGCACATACGTGCATGCATATACATAGGATATTAATTATATTAGTCAACTAGTTAATTAACCAGTTAATAATTAGATATTAACTGGCTAATTAACTAGGTAAATAATAATTAGTCGATTGATTGATTAACTGGTTAATTGATGTTTTGAGACAGAATCTCACTCTGTAGTCCAGGCCAATGTGTAACTCACTATGTAGCCCAGGCTGGCTCCAGATTTACAGTACTCCTTTTGCCTAGACCTTCCAAGTGCTGAGATTGGAGCCACAAGCCATGACACCCTGTTAGACTAGAAATATACTACTCCATCTGTGGAAACCGGAAAGTGGTGCATCTCTGTCCTCATATGGCAGAAGGGACAAAGAAAGTTCTTCTGACCTCCTCAAAAAAAACATTCAGATCTCTTCCTTGAGGAATCCACATCCCTGGCCTCTCTCCCGAAGGCCCAGTCTCCCAACACTATCACACCAGAGAGTGTATTTCATTGTAAGAATTTTAGAGTGGACGGACCTGCAGACCATAGCAGCGGGGTTGTCTGAGGTGCTAGCATGCTTGGCTTGTCTGATCTCTAAGAGTAGCTTCCAGATTGAGGTGAAACACTGAGACTCGGTATATGAACCGTGCCCTGCTAGACTGAAGCACTGACATCGCTCTGGGGTTGTGCCCCTGTTTCTCCAGTTCCAGCGCTCTCTTCCAGCACATCACGGCACTGTTCGAGTGCAGCATGGCAGCCATCATCACCTTACTCGTGAGCGATCCAGTGGGCGTCCTGTACATCCGTTCCTGCCGAGTACTGATGCTCTCTGATTGGTACACGATGCTTTACAACCCGAGTCCAGATTACATCACCACAGTGCACTGCACTCACGAAGCAGTCTACCCGCTGTAAGTGTTTATGTAGACCCAAGACCTCTGAGAAGGAAACGCTTTAGATTCCATTTCAAAAGACTGATCGTTGTAAATTTCTCGGTGCAGGAAGAGGTAGTAGAAAGAATTTTCTTCTCTGAAGGCATACAGAGTATAACAGGAGGAAACATTATTTTTGTTTTTAAGACATAGTCTCACTATATGTACTAGGCTGTACTCAATCTCATTATCCTGCCTCAGCCTCCTGAGTACTGGGATTCCAGGTATGTACTGCCATGCTCAGAAAGTCAGAGAGAGAGTGTGTGAGAGTGTGTATGTGTGTGTATTGTGTTGGAGAATAAACCCAGCACCTCAGGCGTGCTAGGGCTCCACCACTAAACTGTATTGTCAGCTCAGTACATCTTAGCGATAGAAAGGAAAATATTTTTTGATGTAAAAAATATACATGCACTTACACACACATGCACACATAGATACTTAGGAATATGTTTTCTATGTTTAAAGAGGTTAAAAAAAAAACCTTTGGGGATATACAATAGAGATACAGTATTTGATATACAGGAAAAAAGTGTGGGTTCTGGAAACAAAAAGAGCCCGGGTTTGAATTCTGGGTCTGTCAGTTACACTAACATGAATATGTTAACAGTGTTACACAATTCCAGGTTGTTCATTGGCAAGTGGGAACGGTGCCACATGGGGTGCTGTGTGGATGAAATGACTCTGTCTATTAGATGCTGTGTGCCCTGCACACGCGGGTGCTCAGTAGCAGTTGCCGTTACTGTCTGATTATTTCGGTTAGTGTTTTGTCTTTTGTGGTTTGTGATGAATGTAATCTTCATCAGAATACTATAGTTTATGTGTGTGAATGCGTCTGCATGCCACAGCACGTGTGTGGAGGTCAGAGTACAGCTTGCAGGAATTAGTTCTCGCCCTCCATCACGTGGGCCCTGAGGATTGAACACAGACCATTGAACACAGGCTTGGTGGCAAACATCTTTACCTCCTGAGCCATCTTGCCAACCCACAATGTTGTTCTCAAAAAGGAAATTCATAAGATTTTGTGCACTGTACCATACTATTCCATTTTAGAATTTTTTTTAAGTTATTGGCAACTTGGTATGTTTTTCTTGGTAAAGATGGAATAGAAAAGCTATTCTGTTGGAGTACATTTGCTTATTAGAGCAAGTTCCCACTACATAATGTGCTCTATGAAATTAGTGTTGATCAAGTTGTTTTTCTAAAGACCTTTTTTATTCTTTATTTTATATGTACAGATGTTTGCCTGCGTGTATATATGTGTGTATATTGTGTGTACTGCATGTGTGCCTGTTGCCCATGGAGTCCACAAAGGAGCATCAGGTCCCTTGAAACTAGAGTTACAGGTGGTTGTGAACTGCTTAGTGGGTGTTGGGAATCAAAGCCAGGTCCTGTGCAAGAGCAGCCAGTGTGCTTACCTGCTGAGCCGTCGTCTCTCCAGCCCCAGGATCAATTTCTTTCTTTTCTTGTTTTGTTTTTTTTTTTTTTCCGAGACAGGGTTTCTCTGTGTAGCTTTGCATCTGTCCTGGAACTCACTCTGTAGACCAGGCTGGCCTCGAACTCACAAAGATTGGCCTGGCTCTGCCTCCCGAGTGCTGGGATTAAAGGCGTGTGCCACCACCACCAGGCCGATCAATTTCTTAATAGTAAATTGTCAAACAGATGGAGATGTGCATATAAAAAGTGATTCTCAAGTTCCAGATATAGAAATACGAAAATCTTTTTACTGCCAAGCTTTATGACCTTCAAATTACTTTTGTATGCACCTATATTTCATAAAAACGAATAATGACCTCTGTTGATTTATTATAGAACTGTAACTCTGCTCCAAGTATTGTTTTGTCATATTACTATACTAAGGACTTATAGAATTTGATCTTTTTATGTTTAGAAAACTTAAGAATGGAATTGAATATCATTTAAGATATGTACTCATTTAAAATTAAATCAGACTCATTTACTACTAGTTACATAAATGGTATTTATGGTAAAAATATCAAATTAGAAAGAAAATGGCAAATGGATGCCCTGGGCCCTCTTCCTGTGCCCATAACAGTTACGCCTATTTTTACTTCTGTTGTCCTTTAAAATCCTAATGGTGATAAATAATTAATGGGAATTGTAGAAGTTCGTTAATTCAGGATGGAAACAAACAAATAGCATTATAAATAGGGATGGAGTCCAAATATGGCTAGCTATATCAGGTAAAAAGTTACTTGAGTTATAGGTGATTATGTAAGAGACTGCAAGATTTGTTTTGTGCTGATAAAGTTAATGACACATTCCAGAATCTTCTCTAGGTGATTCAAGCTGTCATTGCTTTCTCTTGTCTTGTTAATTTGTTAGCACTTAAATCAGCTAAAGTATTAATACACATATATACATAATAATAATGAATCTCTAGGAAAGATCTACCTTATTGTGTATTTATATCTGTGAGAATGTACGCCATGTATGCAGGTTCCATCAGAGGCTAGAAGAGGGTTCCAGATCCCTTGGAGGTGAGGTTGTAAGCTGCCTGACATGGTTGCAGGAACTGAACTTGGGTCTTCTGTGAGAGCATTATATCATTTGAACTGCTAGCCATCTCTCTAGTCCCAGTAATTTTTAAAGTCAAATTCAAAGCAAATCTGTAGTTCAGACTACTTACCTAAATTATGAAGAGTACTTATGTCTTTTTTGTTTCTATTGAACTTTACGACTTTTGTTTAATTGACATATCCAGTCATACTGATTGAGATACATCATTCACATGTATCTGCTGTATGTTGCCTATTTACATGGCTGTGTAGTGTCCAGTATGAGTTTACCATAAAACTGCTTTTGTTGTTATTGAATATTTTATTTCTAAGTTTTCTTTATTATAACACATCCAATAAACAATCTCCAATAAACAAAAAATAAAGTATTTTTGTTTATTCTTGATTGTTTCTCAGATAAATTTCCGGGAGTAAAACTTCTGAGTCTACAACAAACATTTTGAGCTGGGAGATGGCTCAGTGGGTGTAAATGAGGACATGGGTTCAGATCCCTAGTGCTCATGTAGAGAGCTGGGTGAAGCAGCCTGAAATACCAGTTCGGGCAGGCTGAGACAGGAGGATGCCAGGGGCTCCCTAACCAATCAGCGTAGCCAGTTGCTGAGCTCTAGGCTCAGTAAGAGACCCTGTCTCAAAAAATAAGGTGGACAAAAGACACCCACCATGAACTTCTGGCCTCCACCGGCACGTGTGGGCACACATGCCTGCACACAAACATGCATAACACCTCCCCAAATAGGTACAAAGTTTTAAAATATATAAACATTGTTGGGATTGTTTTTTGAGCTGTATTTACTTTTATTTCATGGGTACGGGTGTTTCGTCTACATGTATGTGCACCACATGTGTGCAGTGCCTGCTAAAGCTGGAAGAAGGTGGCAGATCGCCTGGAGTCACAGAGCTTGTGAGCTGCCATGTGGATGCTGGGAACCAAACCCAGGTTCTCTGCAAAATCAGCAAATACTCTCAAATGCTGAGCCATCTCTCCAACGCCATCTTTAGGATTTTTGAGATACTTTCAAACAAACAAAACAGTGTATGTGTTTGCTTGCCCCCTCCCCACCAGTCTGAATATCTTAATGTGTAAACGTAATAGTGTTTCTAACCTTCTTTTAAGAGCTCTGATTTAAGACCGTCAAGGATGGAAGTGTGTTAAACAGTCTCGATGCATTCCTCATTTTGCAGATACACCATCGTGTTTGTTTATTATGCATTCTGCTTGGTGCTGATGATGCTTCTCCGGCCTCTGCTGGTGAAGAAGATCGCCTGCGGACTAGGGAAGTCTGAGCGGTTCAAGAGCATTTACGCCGCTCTTTACTTCTTCCCCATCCTGACCGTGCTGCAGGCCGTTGGTGGAGGCCTCTTGTGTGAGTTTGACGCCAGTGTTCTCCTCCCAACTAAAGTCTACAGCTTTTTCTTTAAAGGCATCCTTTAAGCTTTGAAGGCAGGCCATAGTGTAGATCTTTGCTGAAACATAGTGTTATTAAAAACAGAATGGAATAGAGCTTCTCAACAAAATGAGACGGAAGTTTGTAGCCAAACTGGAAGATTTAAAACTCTGAGCATAACAGTTTTAAAAGTAGCTTTGGATACAGTAGGTGAAAATTTGTGTTGGCAGTAAGTATTGTTTCCTGTCGTCTTCGATCTCTAAGGTCCTTTATAAAGGTCCTTTCTGTGTAGTTAAAACGGTGTGTGGTAGGATAACCATTCATTTAGCAACACTTTAGGTTGAACTGTGTCTCAGAAGAACGAGCGGTAAGTCATCATCAGAAGGCTCAAGCGTACCCCCAGGAGGTAAAGCAGAGACTCCAGATAGCGGAGGAAACATAGGAGGGGACTTTTGAATGCATTTCCAAAAACATTACGTGTTGCATAGTATTTTTTCTAAGAAGTCTTCCAAGAAGCTGAGGACAAGCCTTTTGGCCCAGGAACAGGCAGGGATGGGGATTATATAGCCTGGGCATGTAATTTGGTTCAAGGCGAAGGTGAAAGGAAATTGGAGGCTAGGTGGGACCTGTTCCTCCTCACGGTCTAGCTCACTTGCATAGTGTCTGAGAACATGCAGGCGCCCTCCAGCTCCTAGAGTTCTCTCTTAGTGTCTGCCACTTCAGTATTCCTGCTTGGCCAGACAGCTGTTCTTGCTCAAGGTTCTAGAATCTAGGGTGTTAGGACTTCATTAGGTTTTATTGCCGTGATAAAACACCATGACCAGGGCAACTTACAGAAAAAGAAAAGAGTTTATTTGGGTTTAAGGTTCCTGAGGGTTAAGAGTCCATCGAGGCAGGGAATTGTGGCAGCAAGTGGTAGATATGGCGGCAAGAACAGCAGAGAGCTCACATCTCAAACTGCAGGCCGGAAACAGAGTGAAGTAGACATGGCATGAGTCTTTCAACTCTCTAAGTCAGCCTCCTTGACACACTTCTTCCGACAAAGCCACACCTCCTCCGACAAGGCCACACCTCCTCTGACATGGCCACACCTCTTCCGACATGGCCACACCTCCTCCGACAAGGCCACACCTCTTCAACCTCTGAAGTAGGACCACCAACTGGACCAAGTATTCAAACATGAGCCAGTGGGAGACGTTCTCATTCAGACCACCACAGGGACCTTACAGAGATTTGGGTGGGAGAGTGACGTGATCAGATTTCCATTGTAGAAAGCTAAGTTGATAGCACAGTGGACTGTCAGAGGAGAAAAGCTGGGATCTTCCTGGAGATGACTGCAGTAAACCGAGTCTGACTGACTGACCCAAACAGAGCAGCGCCAGGATTCGGAGCCATTTCCAAGGAAGAATTGCTAAGACAAGTAGTAAATTAAATGCAGGGATTGGGAATGAACTGGAAATCTAATCAAGGAACTTTCTCTTTAAATAACTGATAGATGGGTAAACAGTCGAGAAAATTAATTTGAAGCGCTCATAGCATGTCCGGGAGGTTGCAGGTGGTAATTTACAGCAGTTGGTACAGTTTGGAGGGACTGTCTAGGATGGAGTTAAGCACTGTCACCCATTCACTTTTGAGTTGCTCCCTCACATAATAGGTGCCTTCCTAGTCAGAGATGATCTGGGCCCACCCTGCTCCATAGTGCTTCAATCCTTTCTCTTCAGGATGCTTGAGGAAGTACTCCATGCCGAGTGGAAGGGAGGGACGCTGCTTTTTGGGCAAATACTACCCAGCTCATTTCTTCTGTCATTAATACTTCCTATTACAACAAGGAACTTCTCCTTTAGGATCTTTCATGCTCCTGATCCTTGGACAAGATTCACTAGGAGAGCCTACTAGACCCTTCCAAGTTGGACAGCAGTAAAGAGCTAAAAATTGATCTTCTCAACCCTCAGGAACACATTCTGACTCTGGTGGACTCAGGCACTGGTGTGACCAAGGTTGAGTTTATCAATAATTTGGGAACCACTGCTAAGTCTGACTAAAATCCTCATGGAAGCTCTCAGGCTGTTGCAGATATGTCCATGAATGAGCAGTTTGGTGTTGGACTTTATTCAGCCTCTTTCGTGGCAAAGGAGTGTCTGTGGTCGCAAAGCACAGTGATGATGGAGCAGTGTGCCTGAGGGTTTTGTGCTGGCAGAGCTTCAGTGAATGTGCAGAGCAGGGTGAAGGGGTCGAGGAAGTAGTGAGAAAGCACTCTGAACTGTGAACCAACCATCCCGTCGCCCTCTGTTGGGAGGAGGAGGAAGAGAAGGACGTGAGTGATGACGAGGTAGAAGAGAACAAAAGGAAGGAAAGGAGAGTGACCCCTCAGACTGAAGATCAGGTGAGGAAAAGAAAAAGAAACGAGGGGCCTTCAGGGTGAATGCATTGGTCAGGAAACGCTGTGCAAGACCACGCCCATTTAGGACAGAGATTCTGAGGACACCTCTCAGGAGGAATATGACAGATTCTGTAAGAGCCTGTCCAGTGACTGGGAAGGCCTCTTGCCAGGCAAGCACTTCTCTGTAGTTAGGATGGAATTTTGGGCACTGCTCTTCCTCCCTTGGCAAGCTTTTGATGACTTTGAGACTAAGAAGTACAATAACATTGAATTCTGTGTTCGCCCAGTGCTCATCGTGGGCAGCTGTGATGAGTTGATGCCCACATATCTATGCCCACATCTGTGTCATTATTGACTGGGGATTGCCCCTGAATATCTTCCAAGATGCTCCAGTAGAGCAAAATCTTGAAAATTTCCACAAAAGCATTGTATGGAAGCACCTTGAGTTCCTCTCCGAGCTGCCAGAAAACAAAGAACCGGAAGTGATTCTGTGGGGCATCCTAAGAATCGAAAGCTTGGAGTCCCTGAAGAGCCCTCTAAGCAGCCACGCCTCTCTGAGCTGCTGAGCTGTCTGCCACCCCTCCAGTCCGGAGATGACTTCTCTGTCAGCACAGGTCTTGCAGGAAGGAACCTGAAGTCTGTATACTCTAGTGAGAGCAAAGAGGAGGTAACCAACCCTGCTCTTGAGAACGAAAATGGATGTTTAAGTGATGCCTCGTTGGTGAGCACTGGAGGCAGCAGCTTGAGGAGTTTGATGGGAGGAAGCTGCTCTCCATGACCAAGGAGTATCAGCAGCTACCAGAGGAGAAGGAGGATGAGAGGAGGGCGGAGTTTGAGAACTTCTGCACACTCATGGAAGATGTCTTGGGTAAAAAGGTTGAGGAAGTGATCATCCCTGTAGGCTTGTGTCTTCATCCTGCTGTGTTAACTAACAGCCACCTTCAAGCCAATGTCCAACAGATCACGAAGGCCCAGGCCTGTGCGACAGCCCTGTAGTGGGCTGTTTGACAACCAAAGGGCATCTGGAGATCAACCCCAGCCACCCCATTGTGTAGGCCTGTAGAAGGCTGAGGCTCACAGGGATGTCAGGGACCTGGGACACTGCTGTTAGAAGTCTCTCGGCTCTCTTCTGGCTTCTTGCTTGAGAATCGCCAGACACTCCAGCCAAACCCATCCATGTTCATGTGATGCCTGGCCACTCATGAAGATAAGGTACCAGCGGAGGAGCCCAGTATTGCTGTTCCTGATGGTACCCCCTGCTTGAGTATGATGATGCATCATTTCACATGGAAACAGATTGGGGTTCTCTGGGAAGCCTGGGCCCTCTGTATAGTTTCCTTACTGCTCCTGCAGAAGCCTTGGGTGGCCCTGGCTCACCCGGCTCCCTCTGTTAATGTCTAGTGTTCTTTTTCTTCTATCCTTGTGTGTCTAAGGCAGGAAAATCAATTACCTCCCTCACCTGAGAGCAGGGTTGGGTGTTGTATATTGTTTTTGTATTGTCTTGTCCTGGAATTAAAATAGACAAATTAAAAAATAAAATTACAGGCCGAGCAGCGGTGGTGGCGCACACCTTTAATCCCAGCACTTGGGAGGCAGAGCCAGGAGGATCTCTGTGAGTTCCAAGCTAGCCTGGTCTACAGAGCAAGATCCAGGACAGGCACCAAAACTACACAGAGAAACCCTGTCTTGAGAAAAAACCAAAAAAAATAAATAATTAAAAAAAAAAATCCAAGTAGTTGTCTTAATTCCTTTGGCCTAACTTTTGCTGCCTCTGTGTTGAAGCTTTTAGAAGCTGGAAGAAGCAGAAAGCTGTGGGAATAAGGAAATGGTTTGGAATGTTAACTCAGGGAGATAGCCAGATAGTGTTCTTCCTAAATGACATCTATTGTAAAGTATTTTTACAATAGTATGTAAAAATGTTACAATAATATGTAAAGTCTGACAGAAATAGTTGGAGGAGCATTAGACTGAAATTTTGCTAACATACCTCCACTCATATTTGGAGGATCAAACGGTCCTTATTCATTTTGTGGTCTGCTGCATTAGTCACAGAGGGCACATACCAAATTCATGATTTTGAAAAAAAATAAGGTTTTTTGTTGTTGTTATTTTTTTTTTTTTGTAGGTGATATAGCAAGTGTGAGCACAGTACACGGGGCAACTTCTGGTAGCTTAACATCCCAGTGGGTGATGGCCTAGGGAGGGAAGGGCTGGAAATGCCTGGGGGGGTGGTCAGCAACACACTTCTGGCTTAGAATACTCTGTAGCCAATAGTTCAAGTGTGATCCACATCTGACCCACCAGGGACAGCATGTTGTTTCCCAGGCCCTAGCCCAGACCCAGGTGCACAAGATAGGTTGCTTTACATCCTACGTTTAAGGACAGCTCTCAATCCTGTGTCTCACCCAGTAGTGCCTGTCTGTCCCCTGGAAGTTGGGGCTTTCTTACCAGGTCATAACCACATACAGTTAGCAATGTTATTTAGGTGTACTTTAAGTGAGTGAGTTTTTTTGTTATTTTGTTTTTGTAGTGGCTGATTGAGCATGTAATCACTAACATAAAAAGTTATAGATATTATTAACTCACTCAATTCTAAGCTAAGTTGAACCGGCCTATTGATAATTGAGGCTCTGGCCACTGCATCCAAAATTAATGTTTCAGCTTGTTCCAGATGTGCTTTGTAGAATAATTGCAAGTTTTGTAAATTAAAGTTATTTTAAAGTAATCGTTTAGAAATAATTCAGGGTATTTTCTTCTCAATTTGCCTATTTTGTATGCTATAAATTTAGACATAGTAGGAAAGGGGAAATGGTAATGTTTGTAGGGAAAATGTTTGCTTGAGATGTTATTGCTATATTGTGTTTGAAATAGGAACTTACAGAATTTTGCTAGGAACAATACCAAAAGAGTATTAACTAAAAAGTTTGATGACAAATAAACTTTTCTAAAGACAGTGAAAGCCGAGTTACTCTTATGAATAGTCTTCTCAACCAAGGTTCCCTTCTTGGACCATGAAGCTGAAAACTGAGTATTCTCTCACTTGTCCTGTTTGGTACACAGCTACCATACAACGTACAGTGCTACATAGAAGCATTCTAGATACAGGGGTGAGAAGTTGATTCTTTTCAATTAATCCTTTGGCTGGATCATATCTCTTACCTTCTTCCAGGTGTGAGATAGATTTACATTTTTTTAAGAGATTGAGGGCCGGGTGGTGGTGGTGCACACCTTTAATCCCAGTACTCAGGAGGTAGAGCCAGGTGGATCTCTGTGAGTTTGAGGCCAGCCTGGTCTACAGAGCGAGATCCAGGACAGGCACCAAAGCTACACAGAGAAACCCTGTCTCGAAAAACCAAAAAAAGAAAAAAAAAAAAAAAAAGAGAGAGAGAGAGAGAGAGAGAGAGATTGAAAAAAAAAATCAAAAGACAAATTTGTTATCGTGTGAAAATTATATGAAACTCCTATTTTATTATTTATGAAATTTTGTTGGGACAGAGGCATAGTTAGTTGCTCATTTACATGCATCCTGTGCTGTTTGCATATACCACATCTGTTGAGTTGAGGCGTTGAGATGGAGACTGTGTGGCCTAGAAGGCCAAAAATAGTCGAGTCTCCGAAGTGGCTGAGAAAGAATTCAGAAGAGCTGTGTCATATGTGATGGTTTAGTTTGTTGGTTTCTAATGCATTGTCTGTGTTTGTTTTCCAGATTATGCCTTCCCATACATTATATTAGTGTTATCTTTGGTTACTCTGGCTGTGTACATGTCCGCTTCGGAAATAGAGGTAGGAATTGGTTTTCCTTTGTTACAGTTCTGCTTTGTCTTTTAGATAAAAACTGACAATTGAATGGAATAGTACATATGATATGGTAAGGTATGCTAATTGTTTCAGTGGTCCTTGGCTAACTGATGTCACTTGTACCTTCTTAGATAATTTTATGAGCGGTTGCATGGGCTGCATTGTATCTTGGGAAGTTAGGGAAGTAGTCAGTGCTCTTTCTTACCCAATGAGATGAAGAAAAACCGTCCAGCATAGTTTACCCATATAGCAGACATGCAGTTATTCACACATTGACACTATTCTGAAATACACACAGAAATGCTCTACTCCACACAGAACTGATTTTAAATTAATTTTACTAGAGATGTCTGTAATTACCAGCTGTATCTCCCTCTCAGTTTCATGTTTGGTTTGGATGTTTGCACCCTACAGTATTTTGTTGATTACATTGATACTGGTACTTTAGTACTGATTGGCTCCTTGGGATAAGCCTTTTGTACTTTTAATTTCTTAGCATTTCAGTGGAAAACCACTGTAATGAGTGTCTTAGTTAGGGTTACTATTATTATGATGAAACACCGTGATTAAGCAGCTTGGGGAGGAAAAGGCTTATTTGGCTTATGCTTCCGTATCACTGTTCATCATTGAAAGAAGTCAGAACAGGAACTCAAACACGGCAAGAAACCCGGAGGTAGGAGCTGATGCAGAAACCACGGAGGGGTGCTCTTACTGCCTTGCTCGCCATGGCTTGTTCAGTCTGCTTTCTTATAGAATTGAGGACCACCAGCCCAGGAATGGCATCACCCACAATGGGCTGGGTTCACCCCCATCAGTACTAATTAAGAAAATGCCCTACAGCCTGATCTTATGGAGGCATTTTCTCAGTTGAGGTTTCCTCTTTTCAGATGACTCTAGCTTGTGTCAAGTTGACGTAAAACTAGCCAGAACAAACAAGGAACCTTATTTTTGAAATATTTTTAAAAGTTTTGCATTGTATATGTTTTAATTTTGTTATAGTATATTCAAATTATTTCATTACAACATTTTATTTATTTACTTGTGTGCATGTGTGTGTGTCCAAAGCCTCAGTGTCTGTGTGGAGGGTGGTTCAGTTCTCTTCCTCTATCCTGTGGGTCCTGCCTTTACCCACTGAACCATCTTGTTGGCCCCATTATGTTTTGAATTCAGAGTATTTTTGGCCAAAAATATGTATTTTGATTCACTGATAGGTAGGTCATTGTTGTAAAGTAGACCTACACATTTTTAAATAACTTTATTTTTAAGGAACTAAGGTATTATCAGTTTACAGTATGAGCAGTAAATGAGAAAAAGCCATATATTTGACATTCTAACTAGGACAGGTGTATTCATAAAACTTTTAATCAAAGTGGGCAGTTCTGTACATCTGTAATTTTCTTTCTAATTACGTGGCTTTCAGATTCTATATCTTAAGACAGCACGTTTACATGATTGCCATGAAGTACCTTCACAGCTCTGATTACAAAGCTCTATCAGAAGCAGAACTCCCAAGAATTGAAAAGCCCAATTCATAGACCCTTCCGTGCTGTGCTGTGGCTCTGCTGCTCACGGCAGTTAACGTGTGTGCTTTCTCAAACTTCTTTTGTTCAAAAGGACACCAGAGAAAACAAGTTAACTCTTGAGAGGTGGTTGTTGATGCCTCTTTCTCTGATACATTGGTGGCAGTGTGAGATGGGGCCATACCTGGAACTCCTCACAGTGCTTAGGTAGGGTTGATAATGGAGGAACTGAATGGAGTGATTGATGGTGATTATTCAGCCCACCCAGTTCGTAGACTAGCCTCATTGCTCCTTTGTAATCTTTAATCAGCATTGCCATTAGATTAATCAGAGAAGACAAGAAATTAGTTTTGACTTTTCATCAACCAGGAAAAGATCAGTGTGTGTGTTGGAATATTTGAATAAAATAGGCATATTTACAAATGAGCAATGCTCTTTTAGATCAGCTGGTAACTCTTTTGGTTCTCTGTCTCCATGTGTCTCCTCTATAAGATGTTGGCATCCTTCAGGTAGCTCTGTTCTCAGCAGTTGAGTACAGGGCTCTGACTCCAGAAGGCACTCCAGGTCTAGATGAGCCCACGAGTCACTTAACTGAAAGAAACAGTTGAAGAGTGACTCACTGAAAATTCCCTGTCCCCCATCTACATGTCCCTTTTATATTGATTTGATCCTTTGGGCCTCTCCGTGTTTTCACACGGCACTGACAATGAGAAGAACATCAGGTAGATAGTGAGTGTTTGTGTTGTCTTGAGTGTATTCAGACGGCAGATACTGGAAGCAGTAGAGTAGTGAAGGTGAGGTTTCTGGAGCTGCAGTGGACCTGGAGGTGAGAACATACCCTGTGGACTTCCTCTTCTAGCTCATGTTTTTCTGAAGAAGCTCATGTTCCCCGAGGGAATGCTGATGTGAATGAGGACCAAGAGATGGGCTGTAGGCTCAGTGTGGCTGTTGAGGGCCTTTGTGACCATCTGGACAGGGGGGTGGCTAGACTGGGTGATTGGGGCAGTTCTTGAGTCCTTTTTAGTGCAAACATTCAGAGTCCTGGGCGGTGACTGTGTGTGAAGACCAGTGGTTAGCTGAGTTTTGTTAATCTGTGTTTCTCTTCTTTCTCATACACAATCACAGAACTGCTATGATCTCCTGGTCAGGAAGAAAAGACTCATTGTTCTCTTCAGTCACTGGCTGCTGCACGCCTATGGAATAGTCTCCATCTCCAGAGCGGACAGGCTTGAACATGACCTGCCGCTTTTGGCTTTGGTGCCGACCCCAGCTCTGTTTTACCTGTTCACTGCAAAGTTTACTGAACCATCGCGGATACTCTCAGAAGGGGCCAATGGACACTGATGATAAAATGCCAAAAAAAAAAAAAAAGCAACCCCAAATCAACCAACCAACAACCAAACAAAACAAACAGAAAAACCCTAAAAAGTATTCTTAATAAATTAAAGAAGAAATTAAAATGTATTAATAGCATTAGGTCATACATGGGAACAAGAGTGTCTGGATATCTTTTTTTTTTTTTTTTTAGGAATGTACTAATGTCTTTATTCAAAAGTACGATGTCTGGATATCTTAATGCTTGTTTTTTAATCTTTTGATTTAATGGACCTTATGATTAGACTTGGAAATTGCACAGCATCATGGTTCTGTGCTCTGCATATATTATCTCTCACACGGGAAGCCCAAACAGGAAGTTTCAGTTGCGCTTTGGAGCACAGCATGTTTCTGTGTACCTGTGCTATTGGGAGTCTCCCGGCTTCGTGTGAAAACCTTTTATCAAGTATATTTGGAACTCCTTTGCTGTGACGTCATTATTCCTGCTTGTGATCTGTGCGTTGACTTTCCCCTGTAAGGAATTAGGAAGACAAGCGTATTTGTGGAGTGTGAGGTGAACTACAGACGCAAAGGAGGTTTTTGTCAATGTCTATTTATTTTCACCAGTACAGTATTTTAGTAATATTACAAAAATAAAGCGTAATTTATATGAGCTTTCTGTTTATAGACAGTTTGGTTGAAGACGTGTTCAGATTATTGTTCCTGTAAAGAAGAAAACAATAAAGAGTTTAACTGTAAAATAACTCAGTGTTCTGACAGTTGAGTCTTTTTTGCCATAGTGTTTATGGAAGTAATTAAAAATGTTAAGTATTAAGATTAATATCTCTTTTGTCTACTGAATAAATACACATACTCTCATCCTCTCGTATTTTATTTCTTAAAATAAAATACCTATACCACATTTTATTAATTCAGAGACTTTTTTTTCCAGGTCATGACATTTCTGAGTCAGGTTCTTATAACTAAAAGTATCTGAGATATAATGAAATAGAGGACTACATAGACAGTTCCCCTGTGGCTGGTTTTGGATAGGTAAGCGGTCAAGTTCATACTCTGAAGGCTTTGAGAGACTCATGTCACAGCCATGGAAACAAAATAAAAATTTTACCACTTAGTCTAATGATCTGGCCATGTGTATCCATTTGTAGTGTTTGAAAGGTTATTCACTGATTCTGCTCCATGGCAACTTTGAAGACTTACGTTAATGCTGTGAGATGCGAACTTAGGTGCACTCACATTGCCTGTGGTTCTCTGGAATTCTCTCGGTTGTTTCTGTGGGCTATTTGCTGGTCCTCGGTAAGGCATTTCTCCTAATACGAATGGCTGGAGGAAAACGGACCATTTTCTTCTTCTTTTTCTTCTTGTCTGTAAGAAGAAAGTTTTAAGTTCTGTTTGTATCTTACACGGGTTTTGGTTGTTAATGTCCACTAAAATCCTGAGTTGTTCCAAGAACCCTTGAGTGGCTAATTATGAAGTCTACCTGAGAGATGATGTGTCAAATTGCCAAGACCACCACTGGACCCATTGCATTTGGAGCTGTTTTTTTTTTTTTTTTTTTTTTTTGGTTTTTCGAGACAGGGTTTCTCTGTGTAGCTTTGCGCCTTTCCTGGGACTCACTTGGTAGCCCAGGCTGGCCTCGAACTCACAGAGATCCGCCTGGCTCTGCCTCCCGAGTGCTGGGATTAAAGGCGTGCGCCACCACCGCCCGGCTTGGAGCTGTTTTTAACAGTTACCTTCCTGAGTGCCGTTCTAGCAAAAAAGTATGTGTAAGGGGAGGAGTCATAAAAAATTAATTACAGTGCTCTAAAGGGAGAGGTTGTCAGGGTACTTAATACCTGCATTTTACAATCTGCTTTCATAGAAACAAGGTTATCAATATCGTAGCCACATTGGTTGCTTATATTTAGTAAATAGTTTGGTAAAATGTGTTTATTAAAGATGTTCAAAATAGCCCTTATCCTGGCTCAGCACCCCAGGCCACATTGTAGGTTTTACCGCTATGCTACAAAATAGCCCTATCCTAGTCCAACCCTGTCTTGACTGAGGCCCTCGGGATACATTGTAGTTTTTAACTGCTATGGGCTATAGTAATTATTTTGTGAGTCAGACCTTAATCATTTGGTAGGCAAATTTTTTTCTTGATTTGGGTTTATTGATGATTCTAATGACATGTTTATCTAAAACTATCAGTTTTATAAGACTTGACTGCTCAATGGAGCCATGTAGAGATTTAAAAACCAACCCTACTCCCCCCACCCCCACCCCGCATTCATATTGAACTGGTCTGGGATACAGCCTCGAGGTGGACTTTTTTTCTTCAAACCTCCTTGTGGAATGCTTGAGAACCACTGGCCTGAAGGACTTCCTAATCTAGAGCTTGGTTTTTCCAAGAGACCTTCTAGGTTTGGTTGGGTTGGGTTGGCTTTCTTGAGACAGTCTTGTTTTTGAACCTGGGGTGATCTGGAAACTCAAGATAGCTTTAGACAATTATTCAGCAAATGACTTTATTTTTTCTCTCTGAAATGCCAATTCTGCTGTAACTATAAAATTAAAAGTAGTTTATTTTTCAGAATTAAATGCTCAAAATGTGCATAATAGTATTGAGTCATTTTTCCATCCTAAAAATGAGACAACTTGGACAGTTGTAAGAGTTGATTTTTTTTTAAAAAAGTCTTTAAAACATTGGGTGATCTAAAAAGGTCTTCTGCAAGGAATGTATTATTTGGTCAGTACAAAAACACTCATGTAACCTAAGTTACTGTGTATAATGCTCAAGGGATTTGGAATTGTAGCTGAACAGATAGTTCTCAAAATACAGAGGACCATTAAGTGAAGGGTGGGGGAAGGCAGCAAGGGGGGACCTGAGGGGGTGGTAATAGGACACATGTGATATGAGTGGAAATGATTACGAGGCTCTAGGCTGCAAGGGGGAAACTGGGGGGGGGGGGATAAGAGGAGACATGATACGAGGTGGAAATGATTACGAGGCTCTAAACAGTAGAGCTCACATGTTTTGTTCTAAGGATTTATTTGTTTTTGCTTCATGTGCACAAGTGTTTGCCTACATGCATGTATGTGCATGGCGGGGTACCGAGGGAAGGCGTTGGATCCGCTGGAACTGGAGTTACAGATGGGAGCTGCCACGTGGGTGCCGGGACCAAGATGTGCCTCAGCTGCAAAGGCAGCATGCGCTTTTGACCACGGAGACATTTCTCCAGCCCCAAGCACGGAGCTATAAGTTGCAGGGCTGTCACCCAGTATTTTACTGACTTTTGAAAACTACCGTTTTCGTTCGTAACGAAAGCACCCATTTTCATTTTACTTCGTTGTAGGTGTTCACCGTGGCGTGGTCTGGAAACAAAATCAGTCTTCATTTTCCCTGTGTGACCCTGGGCTCCACCAAAGGAGCCTCTTGTGGGACCAGACAAGGGAATGCCAATGTCAATATGCTAGTTCTAGATGTTTTCTCTAGAGAGTTCGGTAGTGAATGGTCTAGACTTGGAGGGTCACACGGCCTGTGCCACAGCCACTCTGTCACTGATGGCCTAAAAACACAGGCATATGTAATACGTGAGTGAACAGGGCTGTGTTTCTGTAGGATCATAATAGGCATGGGAATGGAATTCATGTGAGGCAATGATATGAAATGCTATTGTTCTTTTGAGTTTTTCCGATTATTTAAAAGTATAAAACTCATTGTTATCTCTGGGACCCCTCATGATTGGATGCTGACCTCTGCTGTAGAGAATAGACTTGCTCAGATATCTTTACATGTTTAACATCTGGAAAAATGGCACATCCCTAAGAATATGAGGAGGAGTTCAAAACCAAAAGCAGCAGGCAATTCTGCTACACTTCTTGCTTGTCTATTAGCTTTCCTCAAGGATAGCCAGAAAGACTTTTTGTTGTAGTTTTTTTTTCTTTCTTTCTTTCTTTTTTTTCTTGCAGGTCTCACTATGCAGGTCTGGCTGTCTTAGAACTCACTATGTAGATCAGGCTGGCCTCAAACTCATTGAGATCTTCCTGCCTCTGCCTCCTGAGTGCTGGGATTAAAGGCATGCACCACTATGCCCTACTTAGAAAGATCTTTTGACCACAGGATATGGAGGCCAGTGGTCCCCAGTTTAATTTACCCCTTACCTTGGATCATAAGCTAACTCACATATTAGCAATTTGTATTTTTCTATATGTTGATAGTCAAAAGCACAAATTTTAAAGGATGACAATACTGAATACAAACAGAATTTTTTTTTTTTTACACTTTTTTTTTAAGATTTATTTATTTATTATGTATACAGTGTTCTGCCTGCACATATGGCTGCAGGCCAGAAGAGGGCACCAGATCTCGTCCCAGATGGTTGTGAGCCATCATGTGGGTGCTGGGAATTGAACTCAGGACCTTTGGAAGAGCAGCCAGTGCTCTTAACCTCTGAGCCATCTCTCCAGCCCTACAAACAGAATTTTTTAATATTTGCTTTCTTAGTGGGAGTTGATGTTTGGAGACCACCAGTTGCTTTATTAGCTATAATCCAAGAACTAGAAACCATGGTCTAGAACCCACATTACAGCCACATTTTAACATGCAAGCTTTCAGCTAGGTCTGGATAAGTGCCCTGATGGAGTCGGGAGACAAGTGAGCCCCTGCTGTGAACTACATGACACTGATGAATGAGTGGGTTCCTGAACTCTGCTTCATCTATTGTGATGGATGTGGTTGGGCCTTGCCAGGGATGTGTAGAGAGCAGCCAGGTAGTCAGGGACCACGGACGTGTGTGCAGTGCATTTCACAGGTTCCCCCAGGTCTTACAAATAGCTTTCAGCAGAGGAGAGGGCCCGCTGAGTCCTGGCTGCTCAAAAACCATGTCTTACCCAGGGAAGCCTCCAGAAAACAGGTTGTCCCCCGTACTGGAAATGCTTCTTAGCCCTAGTGCATCCCCTTGCTTTCCTTTCATCCTGTTCCACCTTCTACACCTACCTTTACACACAGTCTAATGGATACTCGGTAGTCAACCCAAAGAACCCCACAGTACTGCACACTTGCTAGATG